TCAGGTGCAAGAAAAGGAAAATAAATGGTTTAAAATTTGAAAACTGGCTTAAGATAATCAGTTGGCAAAATAATGTACCTGCCCCTCTCACATTTTTCTATCAAAGCTTAGAAACATGTTTGGGCTGTTGGTATTAAGCGATACACACTTCGAGCAGATAAACATGGTCCCAGAACGTTCAATATTTGAGACAGCTCAGTTTCCTCAAAGATAGAGTGCACTAGGAGGGAAATGCCAGTACAATTGTTTTGTAAGTCTTTGGAAGGCTGAAAAATGTTTTGGACCGTTACAATTTATACAATCTTCTAAGCTAAAAGAGGACTTGCAGCTACTGGAGCACCAACTATCCCAAGATGAGCTAAAAAGATGCTGAGCTCTGAGGTATGTGTGATCAGAGCAAAGTAAAGGGGCAGTTTAAACACAGCAGAACAAATGTGGGGTTCCCTTCACCGTGACAAGAAGGAAAACCTTCACTGTTGACTAGTTTGTGCCCTGATGGCGCAGCTACGGTGTTGAATAAACATATCTATACGAAGGAGACCTTATCATGGCTGCAGGAGTTTAACATGGTGCCTGCCTGGGATGGACTAGCACCAGAAATACATATTACTACAGTGCTCAGTTGATAAACAGCATCAACTCCTTATTCCTTGTGAGCTATAAATATTGAATTTGATCCTTAATAGGAATAAATCTGTAGATTTCAGTAAATCTCTGGCAATTTATACTTGCTTGGGATCTAACCCATCAATATCATTTACACAGGATTTCCTCAGCAGTGCAAACTGGGTAACAGTTTTAGGGATTTATTTATTCATTTATTTTAATAGGGGTCATTTATATTCTGCTTTACTGACATTTTCCTGTACGGCAAGGATTCATAGGTTTAGAAAAGCTTTTTGTAAAGAACTTCTCTGCAAGTAATTTGATTTCACAGGAAAGCAATGGAGGTGGAGCTGTCAGAAAAGCAAACCTGCTCAAAGAAAGTATCCTATAAAATCTTTATTGCATGTGTAAAACGTCACAGATATGCTATTGCACCTTTCTGAAAGGAACTATAATATTAAAATAGCCCTAACAGTTTTGTTGCCACATTGCTGAATTATACATAAGTAAAATTGACCTAGCATTGCGTTATGTCCATCAAACTCAGAGCCTCCCAGCTAACGGTCACGGTTTGTCAGGTTTCATGGAGAACTGGTTAAACACAATGTCAAAATATGTTACCTGGGGCTGCTCACCAGTAAATTGGAAGACTACCAGTATTTATCAATTCCAGGAACAGACTGGAAAGTAATTGACTATGTACATTTCCAGTTATTAAGCCATGGGTTTTGTTCTTCCATGTTAATTCTTCACAACTATTGATGAGAAACTAGTCAGTCTTTACAAAAACTCTAGCTAGCTCTTTACAATTTGCTGCTCTTTGCATACAGGACTATGATATGCAGTTCAAACACAGCAAGAGCTAAAAATTACCCAGTGCCTCGCTGCATGATTTAGGCACTGCAGCAACTCACCAAGCTACAGGAGGCCTGCCTCATTCTCTCTTGGCCTTCTGCTCTCTGACCGAAGGCATTTCCAATAATGGCCTCAGACTCCCTTGCAGCAATCCCTGGAAAGAGCATCCAATTCTCTTCCCAAATCCTTTACAGTTTGAGAAGCATCAGGATGCCTTCCCTTGAACTTGTTTTTCTGACTGCTGTCCCTTGATGCTCAGCCTCCAGGTGAAATTGTACTTGGCAGGAAAAGGCAGAAGTGAACAGAGTAATTCAGATTCATAAATCAACAGACAAAAGAAGAGCCCTTCCTATCAAATTTGCATCAACTCAAATAAATGGCATTTCAACTTTAGGCCAACTGTAATGATGTTGCCTCAGCCTGATTTTAGGCCCACTGCTAAGATGAAGATCCACGTTGCTGACCAAAGGGCCATCACGCAACCAAGATTCAAATCCCCCTGAAAGAATATAGACTTTGGCCCTGCTGCAGAGTTACAGTAAGATGGAAAAAATTAAAGAAGTTATTCATCAGATTCCCTCAGAGCTGTATGCAACACAGGGAAACAGCCCGGGAACCTTTGCTTCGGAGCTCTTTGTCAGGACAGGCTAGCCAAGAAAAAAGAAAAGCCCTCGGCTCTGGTAAACTTCACCCAGCTTGAAAGGAGGCTCTACAGGCCAGAGATCAGGGAAAACTTGGGGCCCAGAACATTTATCAGTCCTAGAGCACATCAGGTCCTGTCCGATCATGAAAAACAGAACCAGAAGACTGACTGTGTGTTTTTACGGCCTTTGACCCTGGCACAACTCTAATTAGATGTCACCAAAACATTACATATGAGACAAGACATCTATATAGATAGTAACTGATGTGCTGAAAAAGTCTTTTGTTTGTGTAGCTCTCCATGTAGATCAGATACCGGCTTTCTTGACAGTCTGCAGAAAAGACTGCCCAGTAATATAAGGCAGTCAGCGTATATGATAACCTTACTTTCAGGACAGAGAGTTATGTAATTTACCAGTACATCCGTACTGCATGCATTGTGGTTTTTTAACTGTAATTTCACCCAAAGTGCCCTATGTTGTTGAAAATTTCACAGTTCAGCGCACAATAAATTGATTCTTTTACTAGGTCAGCCCTGGTTTACAGGCATGGATTTAAGCAGCTTATCCCAACATATGACTAAATATTATTTCTAAACTGCAGTTCTTTATGATCACACAGAAGATGGATTCTATTGCAGCAGCCTGACTCTTGTTGACACATACACAAAGAGACAGGCATTCTGGGAGCATAAACAGAGCAAGAAGATTGGCTTGTGTTATTTGGTAGCATTTATATGGAACACCAAATGTTGTTTACTTCCTAATCTGCCTACAAAATACAAAGAATTGCTGCTCTGAGAGATAATATGAATGACTCATTTGAGTTGTATATTGACCTTAAGCACCGTAAAGATATATTTTACACTATTTTTAAAAACAATTAAAGTAGATTTTTGCAATTCTCTTGAAAAATGCCTAAAGTGTATTCAGTGATTTTCATGACACTTAAAACAGAACCCCATGTACCAGAGGTGCTAAACCCAACATATCTGGCCAAAACACAAGCTATTTGTTGTCAGTCAACATATCGCTAATAATCAATCATACCCTCTTCCAGGCTGTGTTCTTCATGCTACAGCAGCTTCTCCATTCATACTTGCACCTTATTTGACTATTTATAAAAGCTACATAAGAACCATGCTAAGCATCACTTGTGACGATGCATACCAAAACCCTAGAATCTCCTATGAAGACATGGAACTAGAATCTGTGACCAGCTTTCTTCTGGTTTCAGCTCAGGACTTAAGAGATCTAAACTCCCACAAAGCCCTGGACTAGTTATGGACTGGATTCAGCATGTCTGGTTTTGGCTTGTGTCTGGTTTTAATAACCATACCCAGTATATTTCCATTCTGTTTGTGTTTTGCCATTCTGAATATTTAGTCTTTTGAGGGGGGATTTTCCCAAGCAGGGAAAATGTTTACACCATGTTACCTACTTTCATCACCCACTGAGTGAGGAATCAACTCTCCCATCAACCAGCTGAGCTGCATGCTCACAGCTTCTACTTTTCAGAAGGGACTTTTAAAGACAAATCTTCTCAGGGTCTGTTCTTCTCCACAGATCATCTCCTGTCTTTATCCTTTAAGTTTTCACATTCCCTGTTTTGTTCCCCCCAGTTCACCCTCACATCTAAGGCCTTCATGTTTCTCCCTCATATAGTTTTTCATTTGCTCCATCCACTGCTGATTCACATCACAGAAACAGTGGCATAGAGGTTAAGAGGAGTTAGTGTAAAATGTGGAAATCTCTCCCTCCCACATGGCCTGCTCTCAGGAGCCCAACAGCATTTCCATTCCACTAAGGTGACTCCAGACATCATAAGTCAGCCTGGGCCCTATTTATGTGCTTGCCCAATAAAGTTATCTTCTGCACTGCAGACACAAGTATGAACAAGATATAGCCCCAGAACGGAAGGAGTCACACTCACTGCAAACACAAGTGACAGCTCCTTCTTGTCTGAAGGTCACAATTACCACTGTCTACCACCCAGTCAGTTTTTAACAACTAAGAGCAGATTAGCAACCAGCAACAGGGATAAAAAAGAAGGAATGGGAACATATAGGATCCATATGTTCTCTTCTGTATTTATTCTTTCTTTCTTCTTCACAGCCATTCAAAATCTGGGGAAAGAATATGCTGTTTCCTTTATCTTACCACTATAAAAAAGTAGGAAGAACCCCCCCCCCCCCCCCCTTATCAAGGCATGCAGGTCTATGCAATCTCTATTCCAGCCCCCCCCCCCCCCCCCCTTATCAAGGCATGCAGGTCTGTGCAATCTCTATTCCAGCAGGAAAAGAACCAATACCTCAGACACCAAGAAACTACCTTGTGGTGGATCTCTTAATAATATTCAGATCAAGATTGACAGGTTTTGTACAAACTCAAGCACATTCTGCTTAGATGCAAGTTATTCGCCTCAATACAAGCAAAATTGTTGTATTTAAAGAGGTTACAATGTATCTGTTAGTTTTTCTTTTGGATAGAATGGTCCATTTTGAGCTTAGATTCTATGATTCTAGGATTCAGAAATCTGTGGAGGAAGGAAATCCAAATCAGTGTCTATTAACTGCATTGGTTCAGTAAAATTATCAGGAAAAGAGGGAAATATTTTCTCTTTATCATTCTGATCTTAAAGGCATCTAATGAAATACTGAAAAGATCCCCTCTGTATGTTTTCAGTAAGCTGGTACATGCTTTACTTTTTTTTTGTTTGTTTAGCATACCAATGGTACTTTAATGACATATTTCCAAACATTTCCACTTTTTCTTTGGTAAATGCACTGAGGAAAGATTGACCCTCCACAATGTGTGAAATATATACTCAAGCAATTCTTTACAGGTATGCCTTTTGACTTCCATACACATAGGGAGGAAAAACATTAATTCTGCAAGTGGCAATAAAGACTATGAATTTAATAGCGCTCTAATATACAGCTTACATGTATATCTGTTATTCCAATCAGTACCTTACAGTAATAAATACAGAAAATACAACTGTGATTGCACAGATTTAAATACTAATTACAAGAGGTGGTAAATCCTGGTGCTCTCAAGATTTGATGCAAAACCTACTGAATTAGTTGAGTCTCCTCAGATTCCAATGGGCTTCAGCTGAGTCCCTTAATGATATTAAAATCCATTTGTTATTAAACATCACATTCAATACAATATTATGGCAATGTTATAATTTATTCATACCATTATGCAAAATTTCACATCCAATCCTGCCCCTGCTGAAGGCTGCAATACAAGTTCTGTAGACATCAATAAGAATAGGTCTGGGTTATCCATTTTTAATTGCACTGTATACAAGTATTGACAAAAGAATACAATACAGTATTCACAAAATTACAGCGGCTTCTATGAAACCTACAGAGAAGAGCAGCACAGAATCAATGAAGTAAAAACAGTATTTAAAAAAAAATAAATGAGACTTTTGGCAGTTATGGACAACAATATTGAAAAAAGATAAATGAATTGGCACAGTTTAATAACCTAATTTCTAAGTGCACTTTATAACAATTCTCCTTACAAGCTGCTGTTTTCCCAGAAGATGATGACAAAAAGCCTCATTAGAACATGACTGTTTTATAGTGACAGGTTTTATTGCCTTGCCAGCTGTGAATCTTAAGAAAAATAAAAAACAAAAAACAAAAACACCCCACAATATAGAAAGGTTCCTAAAAACCCTATTTTCTTGTTTTAGCATCAAAAAATAGCAACATAGCACTTATATGCAAACCATATGTTTGTGAATATCCACAATTCCAGTTTTTTAAAAAAAATAGAAGTTAAAGAAAAGTGATTTTTGTCTTAGTTTCAAAAATAATGTAAAGAAACATTTAAGAATCAGATCCCTATTTCAGTGATCACAGAGGTATCTACAATGTGAAAGATCTGAGTCCAATCCTGCAAATACTTGACCACGAATGCAGACTTGAGAACTTGTGGATCCTCCTCGTTTGAGCAAAAACAAATAAATGCAATTAAGGACTGGCAGAATCAGGCTCCTAGCTTCACCCAGTATAAGCTTTTGCACAATTTGTCATAAGCTAAAAAGTATAGATAAAAGTATATACTCTGTATACTGATTTATACAAAAGCGGGCTTCTGTTTTACAGCTTTAACCCTGTTATTGCTAGACTGAAAATAAACATTTGGAACAATTTACATGAATCATAAAGGATAAAACTGAGATGCAGCTTCCGATGACTGAATTTCCACTTGAGCCATTTTAAACTGGGTACACTGTAGCCATTTGCGAAGCACAGATGAGCTATTGCTCATTTGTCCTGACCCTTGCAACATCCTTAGGCTGTGATGGTTGACATTACTCTGAATGGCTTGGAGGCGTAGTTGGAGTCCAGCAGATAAATGCTGTTGAAACAAGGTAAGATATTCAGTTTCTCTCTTTATTCAATATACATATTAATACAAGACAATGAAATGTACTTATCTTCATCCCAAATTGGTTGCTTGGCTATGGAGAGCTCCTCCACTGCCCCAATATCACATTTCTTTCTTCCATGTTCTGCACTGTAGCTTGCAAATCACTAGGTTTCTCCCCTACACGTTTATTCCCATCACCAAAATTCTCTTGAATGGTAAACCACACTGGTATATCCCCCTCATCCTCATAAATAGAGCCAGCTGGGACACTGTTACCCCACATAAACCAACAATATCTGCTATGGAACCAAAATCCATCTCCTGAGTAAGGGGTCCCAACTCTGAGCTGTCAAAGAGAGTCTCAAACCTAAGAAAAACACATCTGAGGGAATGACAAACCTCAGTAAACAAGGGGTAAAGGCCCTGCCACAGAGCCCTGGTTAGAAGTGTCTCAGAAGGGAAAGGGAGAACAGTATTGAGTACAGGACAAGTATGCTAGCTGATGACGCTTCCTGCCTGCTCACATCTGAGACCTGCAGTGCTGAGCTGTACAGTGCATCTGGATACACTACAGTGACATATTTTCAGATAATTGGGTGACCAAGTCTAGTGACTTAGTCTTATTTCCAGAGTAAATTTACAGAAATATACAACCCTAGCAATAAAAGAGCAGTGTGCAAGAAACAACTTACCTTTAGATTTGACTGTATCATTGGCAACCACATTGGTATGAGCTGTCCAAAGAGAGAGAAATATTTTGTTATTACCCAAGTGTCTGTAAAAATGCTCCAGTTACACTGAGTCAGAGAAGAGTTTATCTAACACATTTAGCCCTCTGAAAGGATACAGAAAAGCACTCAGCCAACAATATAGAAATGCATTTATTTTAAAACGATGCACCTGCTTGACGGCAGGCGACTTTCAGAGGTAAGGAAGCCACCTTCCCTTGTTTGTAGCAACTACTGATATTACTAATATCCTGTTTAAGGCAATGAAAACAGTTCAAAATAGAAAATTCATTAAAGGAAATCAATTACTTTCCTTTTGAGGGTGTTTCTATAAGTGCAGGTGAACAAGCATTGGAAGGATTACAGTATACGTTCTGCACTGCAAAGTGCACACCAACAGCAAAAAAAATGCAGCAGAATTTCCTAATAACAGGCCAAATATTTAAGCAGTAACCACCATTTTATAAGCCAGTAGTCATGTCACCGCTTCACTGCGGAATGTGACCTGTAGGCCTGGGAACAGAGATAAACTCTCCTCCTAACTCTTATCAAGAATGACAAAGCAAGGAGGTCTGGAAACCCATCACTCACAGTTGATATTTATTTCTGTCTCTTGCCCTTCAGAGAACTTTTATTTCTGAGTAAGTATAACATCATAAGCTTATGGAAGGCAGAAAGGCATTTCTACCACAAGTATTCCTGTTCTCCAATATTAATTTAACTACTGAGGTTACTGTTCTAAAATGTTCCTCCAAATGGCATCAAAATTTGCAATTTACCAATTATGTTACCGGGAGCTGCAAGTTAAACCTAATCACTATTGACAACATTAGATCAAGTACTGTTTTCCTTGTGCAAGGAACACTAATTGTTTCAATTTCAGTGCTGTTTTTCTGGGGAGTCATATGCAGCTCTGTCAGGACTGATTACTTAGTCTACCAAATAAAGAACCATATTCAAGCCTCAGCATTTACAGACAGATGAATACCAAAACAGGCAGAATGCAGCCAGACGCAGTAGACATGTGAGTTTTCTCTGGCCCAAGGTACCCCTCTGCATCTGAAACAACTGACTAGACATCTTTTCCAGTCAGCTGAGCGAAATAAGCACTTCTCACAACCAGTTCATCTAACTGAGTTGACCAAAACATGTAGCTAAAATAGATGGAGAAGAATCACGGCCTAAAAATACCTGTTTATCTCCACTGACTATAAAGGGTGCCCAGAAAAACTAGCTCATCTTGATAAGATCACTGTTATCCAGCATCACTTCTGTCTTCCAGGGTCCAGACCCTGGACGGATTCAGGGAAACTAAAGATTCTGCTGCAGGCTTTAGAAAGCAAACCCTCTACTCCTCTAGCTGCCAGTTGGATAATTGAGACAAGAAGAAATTTTACTGAAGCACCTGAGTTTTATTACCTAGTCTGCAGAAAGCCTTTTCTTCACCAAAGGAAGAATTCATAAAGCTAGTTAGAAAGAACAGCTGGAAGAATAGACTACTGTCAGTGAGTACCCATTTTGCAGGGGGTTGATATTTTCACCTGGAATATTGATTCCAGTGCATGTTTTGATGGAAACCAGGCTGGGGAACAGATTGGTCACTGTGCTTTTCTGGATCCCCAACTCTGCTGCCTGCCAAGGTCTCTAGAAGCTACCTGGCACCTGCTGGAGTTGCCTAAAACCCTGGCTCTCCAAACGACCTTGGGGTTTGCTGAGCTGCTCCCTTCACTCTTCTGGGCTCCCAGATTCCTCAGGTATATGTCTGATGGGCAGCCAGAGAGCTGTGCTCAGCAAGCAGCTGCTCCCCAGCATCGATGACTCTTCTGGGAACAAAGCTCAACTGTTTCAGTTTCAGTTCTTCTAAAGCAGAATGCTTCCCCTCAGAGAAAACATAATGGTTCCCCACAGAGAAAAATATAATGAATATATATGTAGATACATGTTTATCTGTGTAGGTTTGCATATATCTCACTCCAGCGTAGAAAGAAAAATAAATACAGAATAGATGAAATGTTCTCCAGGAAGGAAATTTTGTTTTCCTCACAAATGGATAAAGAAGGTCTGAAGTCAGTTCCAAAAACTGTCCTCTGAGAAAAAAGGGAATGGGTCAAAGAAACCAATCACAGACACGTCTCAATGATAAGCTCAGCATGAGTTTAATTTAGTAGCTAAGGCTAAAACAGTACCAAGAGGAGAAATCCTCATTGCACCACACAGTGGGGAGATGTAAGAGCACTTATCCCTGCCACAGTGAAGAAAGTACATATTGTAGTGAAGGAGAGCTGAATTGCTCACATGCCTTCTCCTTTCTCTCTTATTTTAGAGCAGATTTTTCCCGTACTTGTCACCTGGGAAAGTTATACAGGAAATAGCCACCTAAGACAGCCATTCCATAAACCACCTGGCAACATGTAATTCCTTCTTATTGTGGTGTTTTAAAAATATAAATGTGTGTTGAATCATGTATTATTATACAATGACTTCATTTACAAGTGAAGGTTTTGCAGCACCTGATTCTTTAGGTAGAATAAAATTTACTGCAGTAAATATAATTATGTGAATGATAAATGCTCAGGATTTAATATTGGCTGCTGTGCTCAGTTCCAGAAGGAAGTCATTGGGAATTATTAGGTTTGCTGAAAGATCTCAGAAAGGATGTTAAGAACTTCCGTTTAAAAAATACATATATATATATGTCTCCTTCACTACACTGTGTTTGTTTCCATCAAGACCCTTGCTTGAAAGGCTTATATCTAAACTCAAAGCAAAACAACCCACTTCGAAACATACACTTGTTTCATTATGGAAGGCAAGGTAATACAAGATTGAGTTGTCGGAAACAAATAAGCTATCAAAAGAACTGCCCAGTTAACTAATACCCAAAGAATTGTCATCCTTGCAGACTTGTGAACTAGATTAGGCGTGATAAAGTTCAGATCTTCAGATCTATAGCCACTGAAGAAAAGATGAACTCAAAGCTGACCTTGTTTTAAATTATAGAGATGCCACTCATTTACTGGTTGCTGTGCGAATAAGCTTTGCAGTTCTGTGTCACTGAAGGACTTGAAAGGACTTCTACTGGAGAGAGTGCAGCGGAGGGCTATAAAGATGATGAGGGGACTGGAGCATCTCTCCTCTGAAGAAAGGCTGAGAGAGCTGGGCCTGTTCAGCCTGGAGAAGAGAAGACTGAGAGGCGATCTCATCAATGTGTACAAGTATCTGAAGGGAGGGTGTCAAGAGAACGGGGCCAGACTCTTCTCCGTGGTGCCTAGCGACAGGACAAGAGGCAACGGGCACAAACTGAAACACAGACAGTTCCATCTGAACCTGAGGAAAAAATTCTTTCCTGTGAGGGTGACAGAGCACTGGAACAGGTTGCCCACAGAGGTGGTGGAGTCTCCTTCGCTGGAGATATTCAAAACCAGTCTGGACACGATCCTGGGCAATATGCTCTAGATAACCCTGCTAGAACAGGGGGGTTGGACTAGATGATCTCCAGAGGTCCCTTCCAACCTCAACCGTTCTGTGATTCTGTGAAATATACAGTGAATCTTTCCCCAAATCATGGCACAGTTACTTTTCAGATTCTATGCAGATAGACAGAACAAACATTTTCACAATTAATTAGTTCTGGAAAAGATAGTAATCTAGGACTATAAATCCTATAATACCATTATGGATGCATACTTTCCTGCAGGATTTCACTTTAGGGCTAAGTAAAGGAGATTTGGTCATCCAGATTCTGCTCTCTGATATCCCATCTGTTAAAACTGAAAGAAAGCTATGCAACTTATCTCTGCATTTCATGGATTTATGAGCTTATTTTTGCAACAACAACAACATCCCTTTAAGCCAATTTAAGGTATTATTGATATATACTCTGTAATATAACCCTTGGAAGAGTTCATTTGAATTGTGACAGGAATCTGAGCCTAAAGGTCTCTTTTCTTATAGCTGTAAAGCCATTCCTCGTCTTTGCCAAAACTTGGGACATCCTGGACTACCTGGAAGAGAAACTCAACTAACTAACTTTCTGAAAACCTTGCCAGCCCATATCTCCTCCAGGAAAAGGCACGATCACTTTAACCTCCCAGACTGATGGAGTTTCTGTATTGCATCCAGTCATTACTGACTATAAATTTGTATTTTTACAATGAATCTGAATACTTTCAGACCAGTCTACAACAAATCTTTCAATTTTAGCTACTGTATTTTCACTTAATGCTCGATCATGTGAGACTGGAGTAAAACAACAGTCAAAACTTTATGGCAACAGGGGAAAAAAATATAAACATATTTCAGCTAGATCTAGAATGCATATAACTGCTTGGTTTGTCATTATTCTATTTGAAAACTACCTTCAGAATAACGCAGTGGGAAGAAATCTATAAAAGACTACTGAAATTGATTTACGTTTGTCTGGCTACCACAACCCTTCATAATTCTGTTTTGTTCTGATCCCATTAGTGCAGAGTGCTGTGGCGATCCACAGGAGACCGGCTACTGATTTCCAAAGGATTTTAACAAGAATGAAGCATGCAGAATACCCTGTTATGCATCCTAGAGGAAGAAGATTCACTGTCAAATAATATTTGATGAAGAAACAGACATGTAGGCATATAATAACAGGAAAAATCATTGGGGTGCAGTGTTTTGTTACCAGCCTAAAAGAATCTGACAGTAAGGGATCTGCCAAGAATCTGTGATCGTTAAAAATTAACAGAATGAACAAAAATTCAGACAGTACATACAGGCTCTCATAAAGTCAATGACACCAGTTCAGTCTATTAGAGGAATGGGACCACTGCAAGAATGGGAAGAGGAACAAGATCAGAAGTTCATTTTTAAAAAATAAGGAGAGTTTGGATATCAGATTATCATCCGCTCTCACCTCTTACTGGAGATTTTTTTTTTGTTCTGCTCTACTAGGTTTTATTTTTGCAGTAGCCTTGAACCTCAGCATCTTCTACTTTCCTTTTTCTGTGTGGGATGGGAATGGGGGAATAGCTCTAGAAATTGCAATATACAGGCAACGTTCTTAACTAAATATTCACGATATGCATAATGCCTACCTTAACAAAGATAGTTGAATTGCATTCCTGTAAAGCCTCCATTAAACTTATCACATGCAGACACACCATTTCTACCATCTGAAAAAGAACAAAAACAAATAAATGCCCAGCATAGCCTCGTGAGCTAAACCAGTAGTATCTAAAAGGAATCTTCCTATAGTTGCTTGGCAGTTATACTGGAGCCTTAGATGTGTATTTATTAACCACTGACATATAAGATTAAATATTACATGAACACATAAGGGACATTTGTCTTTATTCAGTTTTCCCCTGATGCAACAATACCGATCTGTTAAACATTTCACAGTGCCTGATGGATTTTAATTCCTATGACACATCAAAACAAGTTGTCTTCGGCTTCCTTCCTTGCACACATCGTAAATCCTTTTACATGCTTTTACTGGGTGCTTCTCATCAATCAATGTGCCAGAAATTGATATTATTTACCAAATCCTTTGAAAATTAACATAGTCACAAAAATCACCTTTTTTCCTCCCCACCAGAAGACAATTTACTGTTCTGAACTGGCAGTGAGTCCATGAATACATACTTCTTCAGTTCTGTACCATGAATTAGGACAATTGCAAATACCAGTTACTTGGTAGCAGACAGCATTTTATATTTTGTTATGTAAATGCACAGGTACCACAGGACATACACCCTGAGCCAGCAGTGCGTCTTTATAGTGCTGGTCTAAACTATGTGTAAATTCCCCTTGATAATAATAAACTTGGCTTTTATATAGTGCTTTTAATCTTCAAAGTGCTTTACAAACACTAACTAATTAAACTTCACAACACCCCTGTGAGATGAGTAAGTATTATTATCTGCATTTCACAGAGTAGTAGCTGAGGCAGAGAGAGTTTAAGAATGTGTACTGAAGCCACATAATGAGACACTTTTAGAATAAGGATTACAACTTGGGACTTCCAGGTCATATTCTTGTCCTGAGGCTTGACGTTTCCCTGTGTCTGACTAAACAAGTGGGCAGTTAGAAGAGTTGTGCATAATTCCTCTTCATTCAATAGGAGCTTCACGAACCACTTCTCCCAACAGTGACTCATGAACCACAGACAATTTACTAGATGTCAAAGGCTAAAATCTTATTTAAAGACAGCTTTAGATAGCTGAAGGCCTTGCCTGATATGTAGAAGATACAAGGATATAGTAACTGGTTCAAAAACATCCCAGCTGCAGCTCATGCAATTGCTTTTGAAAGGGCAAGTGCCCAAACCTGTGGGGAGCAGAAGATGTTTCCCACGGGGAAAGGGGAATTAGATAAAATAATTTTCATATAGAGATTGGGTTTTCATCTAAAACAACAAAAAACAAGAATAAATAGACTAAGAACAAAAACCCTGACTTAGAGGGCTGGGCCACATACGAGCAGTCTTTCTCATCAGTATCAGAGTCTTCAGAGTCAAAGCTGCTAGCTATCATCTCAGTTAAAGCCAAACATTCATGAATGTCCAGTAGTGGAAACAAGCTTATCATGACCTTCTGGGAAGCAGAAAACACAATACAGCTTGCCCATGAGAAAAGTTCTCAACCCCTAAGCCTGCAAGCAGAGAGAATTATTAGTCAATGGGAAGCAAAGGTAGCACCTCCATGAAGGCTTCTGGCATACTTCTGGTCCTTATTGCACAAAGCTGCTCCAGCAACCCTCAGCAGTTGAAAAATGAAAACTCCAAGTTTACTTTCAAAATTGGTCAGGACAATTTCTGGACAGAGTGAACAGTTCCCTTTCAAATCTTATCTCTAAATATGCCTCCTTCACATCATTCATTACTCAAAAATGTCTCCAGAAAGATTTACATGGCTCATTTTCGATGGGTAACCAATGAGATATGAGTGGTTAATAGTCAGCTTTGTGTGTTTTTTACTGAACAGGAATGCATCCTGTGGTAAAAAACATTCAGATGGCTATTCACAGAATTATCCTAAAACACTTAGTTGCTCCGGTAGACAAAATAAGAGAAATATGAAGATTTTTCTGAAGAACAGAAATATATTTAACATGAGACCTGAAGCAGGGAATCCCTAATCCAACAAGCAGTTGCTCTAGCTGTTGAACATTAAGTTCCCATTTCAGGCCAGATCCTGGCTAGATCCTGTTTTACGGTCACTGCAAGGTCGAACCACTACTAATTAGCTTTCCCTTTAACTTCTCAAAAGCATCAAAATTGCTTTATAAAGTTATTCATAGTATATTCCATTTAAACATTGAACTCAGAGCTTGGCTTTGTTTCAGTCCATACTAATTCTGTATGCAGCCTCTGACTCACCACTTTGTTATGTGCCATTAATTGTAGGATGCTAGGTGTCACTCGGCTCCAGAACTCCAGTGCTGTAAGGATTGCTGTAAAACTAAATTCGTTCTGATTCTGGACTGTCGGAGCTACTGCCGTTTGTTCACAATATACTGTCCAGAGCTGAGCAAATATAAATGCATGGAAGAGGGAACACATGTGCAGAACGGATGTCTGTAGAAATAGAAAAGAGAGGAAAATGTTTCATTGAAATAAGTGTATTGGGGTACAGTGCACTCCTAATGAACTTACAGTACACTTTCATCAAAGAATTCCTCTCATGCACCCCACTGTACAGTCCTGCCCCGCATTTTCCAAAATGCTTCCCTCCCATTAGGAAACAGACATATCCAATAACATCTTTTTCATGCTCAAAACTTGTTTTTGTATTTACAGACCAAAAACTGCACTTGGAAACCCACACTTCCACACAACCACATTAAGGTCAGTCCCTTTAAAGAAAAGGTTAGTTTTGCAGAACAACTTCTACTCAGGGACGAGGCCTGGGACTTCCTTGATGGAAAATTCCCAGTACAGTCTGTAAAAGGCCAAGAATCTCTGGCACATACGACGCCATTTCAAACATGGTTTAAAACCTGTTTAATCTCCCATAAGATCCTCATAGATAAACTGATGAGGTATGAGCTCGATAAGCAGTCAGTGAGGTGGACTGGAAACTGGCTAAACTGCTGGGCTCAGAGGGTTGTGATCAGCAGCACAGAGCCCAGCTGGAGGCCAGTCACTCATCGTGTACCCCATGAGTCAATACTGGGGTCAACATCACTTAACATTTTCATTAATGACCTGGATGATGGTACCAAATGCATTCTCTGCAAGTATGCAGATGATACAAAACTGGGAGGAGTGGCTGATACACCAGATGATGTTCTGCATTCAGAGGGACTTCGACAGGCTGGAGAAATGGCCAGAGAGGAACTTTATAAATAAAGTTCAAAGTCCTGCCCCTGGGGAGGAATAACTGCATGCACCTGTACAGGCGAGAGTCTGATCACCTGATAGGAAGTAAAAATACATCATCTCACATCCATTTGTTTTATTTTTCAGCCATTACCTTGTTTCAGGTCAGAGATGCTTTCTCAGTTTAAAAGTGCAACAATGATTCATACTCTGTGGCAACGTGACTGCACCAAACATTGCAATGGTTGCTTGGTAACTAGAAAGAGGTATTTGAAAAAGCAAAAAAAAGGACCAGCAGGAAAGAATGGGAAATACCAGTCTCAGCTGGGAGAGGGGAGAGAAGGGGGGATTCTAAGTACTGGACAAATATGTGATCATTCTGCTGTCTTATTTAATAAAGCCCTGGTTAGCGTCAGAGTGCTGCTTATCTGTGTTGAACTACTGTCACAAATAGCTTGTAATTTCCAATAACTCTCTTTCCTTGTCCAAAGCAACTTCAGGACAAAAAAAAAGTGCTTAAACTATCACTGTTTGTAATGTTAACTTTTGATCACAACATTATTTATAGGCTATCCAGTGCTACTACAGAAATAGAAGAGAATGAAATAACTATCTAGAGATATGCTACAGGGACAGTCATAGCTAAAGCTTCATTTTGGAATTCAGTTTTCCCTTCTTCACTCCTGTGCTGAAATACTTTGAATTAGTTAAGTCTCTTAAAAATTATTTGTAGTGATTTTATTACCAGTTTTATATGCATAAAGATGTAACTATGCAAGAAAGACTACAGAGATGTCTTCTTCCTAAATCTCAGGTTTTTACAAGGCTCTATCCCTCCTATTTTCTTATGAAGAGCCAAATATTCCAATGTTGGCCTATTTTAGTCCAGTGGGATCTCTTAAACATTAAAAAAAAGCAGACAGTTCTTAACCTCTCTAAACCATATTACTGGATTACTTCAGAAACACATTCTGGGGGCTACTGTGCTGGAAGTATAGGCAATTTTACACAAGACATTAGCTTACATGAGATGGTTTTGGTAAGATTTAGAAAAGTTCAATATTTCACATCTGAATAAAGTACAAGGTAGTGATAAGTGCTTGCAATAATAAGGTCAATATATTTCATGTCTCCTCTTAAAAGATGGAATCCCTTACCTTTGATTGCTCTGGAAACCCAATCAGAATAACAATAAGGTGGTCTGCAATTTGAGAGCCTGCATCCAGTGGAATAGGCATGCAAGACGACGGAGAATTTGGACAGACAACATTGTGTGTCAAAGACCCCAGGAGCAGCCATGACAGCAAACGAATATGTGAGACACATTCTATGAACTCTTTAGGCCTGTCAAGAAAGAACGTGTTTTACAATGCTGGTAAGTTTTCTATTTGTCCACCAAACTGAGAATCTCTTTAAACACACTTTACAGATGCTGTGTCAGTGTGCTGGAGGTATGAATGATTGATACAGCTAGCGGGTAGACCAGAGCTACATTTAGAACTTCACAGAACTAAGGGGACTTGACATGCCATCAACAAGTCCAACAGAACATATTTAGTGTGCCTAAGAAACAGCCTCTATCTATGGCCAAATCATTCACAGGCTCACAGGTTCCACATCCAGTCTTTTTTTTTTTTTTCTTTAAACACAGAAATCATCAAATAGAAAGGGTTATCCAAGCGGAGCTGCTCCTCACACCTCCTTCAGATAGCACACAGCTGACAAGGCTTGTCGTGAAACTTCTCAGTCCACTATTAGCTCTGAGGCAGATTCCCTGCATTATTTTTGCTGTGTTCCACTTCTCCATCAGTAAAATGGAATTAATTTCTCTTTTCCTTAGCCTCTCTTTGGACATTTGGACTGCATGCTTTAGAAGCAAGGATCATTCTTTCTTGGGGCACTTAAGTATTCATCCACCATCTGCTGTAATGTTTAATTTCAAATCAATTTGCTTATTTAATTTAAAAAGGAATAATACTTCTCTAGTGTCATCTTGTCTGTTCCCTTGCTGTAACCAAGTTCAGATTACTTACTCGTTTGAATTCACGGGCACAGAAAAAAAAATTGATTTCAGATCAAGAAACCACTACTGGGGCCAGAAGTCTGGGACAAAGTTGGGACAGGAATATAGATTGGCTGAAACAAAGTCCAGTGCTCTGTATTCAACACATCTCTCTGATCGCTATCACTGTAAGAGAAGGGAGAGCATCTTGTCCTTCTGTTGCAACATAAAACACTTCAGGTTAGGGTTTGTCACAGTGAAAAGGGATAGAATCAGATCTTCAAGAGCAGGATTTCTCTCATCTGACTTTAACCAGGTGAAGTCCATATTATTATCATCACACACTTAAAAGTTCTTACTTATTTGCACTTAGTAATTTCATTGGGCATCTCCTACTGTACTCTAAAATTCCCACTATATTCTTTATAATTCTAGGCCTGATTGAGTACTTGCATTGCTTCTCACTGCCAGTATCTACAATCAAGTTCATTTCCATTGTAGATCTACCAATCTACAATCCAGATCTTCTCTAGAGTAGCTCAAGTCAACAGATATGCTTCCCAGGTCCCCTTAGCCTCCCCTTTTATGTGGCAGTGATGAACTCAGGAAATTGGGAGCTGCCAACCAGCTGTTTCAATGTCCCACTGCCACCATTCCCAACCGCAGGTCCTACCTAAGCAATGTGGCAAAAATGCAGAATTCTATGAAGATTTCCAACTCATTCTAGTATTCCTTTTGGTGGAAAGGGGTTCTTACCCTTGTTGCATTGCAGAAGGAGGATGGTATAGCCAAGGCAAATATCGGATCACAGCTTTGTTGTCTCTGTGGTTTCCTCGTGTAATTTCCATAGCAGCAATCTGAGCTAAACCAACTTTCAGATGCCCACCAAACGTGTCTTCATGCAGTGGCTGAGAACACGTCTTCATGTGACTCTGGAAAGCAAAGATCTGATTCCCTACCCAAAAGACTATGTCATTAGGTCTAACTTCTTCCAAGCATCAGCGTAGTCTTTTTCCTTTCAATCCCTTTCTCAGTGTCTAATTGTGTCTATGAAGCTATGGAATAAAAATCTTAAACAGATTAAAAACTTCTCCAGTGCCTATTCTAGTAACAGCATTATGATGTGACTCTTTCCATGGACGACCATATTTTCAAGAGCCGACACAAGAGAATTGTGTAAAATGCACACGTACTGTTTGCATCAGTAAACTCAATGCCTGCTGAATACAAACTAATGGTTGCACATTGAGACAGTTTCACTGAAGGTCAGAGAATCTAACCATTTAGTAAGACAACGCTCTTTGTGTAGGAAATGTCTTCCTGTGGAAGATTCCATTTACCTGTACAGAAATAAGCTGTCACCCATTCACCAGACATACAACTATTCTGCACTGTTCATCTGCTACAAGTGCTTTTAAGCACTGCAAAGAAGGGCTACCTTCACCAAGACACCTGCAAATATTTATGCCTGGAGAAATAATTTGTTATCCTGTTTTGTCAGCTCTAATGAATGTTTCACTGGTGCTTCTTGAGATATTTCTATATTTGTAACTGAGCTAACTTTGCATTATCTTGCATTACAGGAGTAACAGAACACGTGCTGAGCGCATGTGCTTGCTTAAGGGAAAGCCATATGCTCTGTACAAGGAAATTCAGGTCATCAATTATTAAATTATTATAATGTGTCAGAAATCAGTGAACCTACAGTATTTTATAGGGGATAAGTATCTGACCGCAGCAACTCGTACTATCAAAATCGTTTACTTGGAGTCTCTCTAAGAGACTGAAAAAGAACTGAACTGAAAAAGAAATGGGTGGATAACTTTAAAGGATTGAGTGGGAAGGGAATTCAATTCAGCTGCAAAATGATTAATTAGTTCATGCTTTGAAGTAAATTTCTACTCCAGCACAAAAGGCTGTTTCCCTTATTGGAGGGTTTTTTGTTTTTGTTTTTTTACTCAATGGGATTCAAGGCAAATGGCCAACAGGATATGAACTACAAAAAGATATTTTTTTCCAGTGAAACAAGGTTACTGCAGGTTTCAAGAGATGTGATTTTTCAGTTTAGTCACGATTCTTCCTCCTGTATGGTAAACATTATCACGTTGCAATAAAGCGTCCCTGCTGCAAGGTGTGAAGCAAAGGTGTGAATGTGCTAGGTAATCAGATAGGGTAAAAGCTCTAATCTTGATGGTTCATCAACAAAACCCAGTATCCAAATCCACTACAGGTTGTCATTTACTCTGTCTTGCCTGTAACAGAAGGTAAGGAACGAACTCGTGGCATGAAACGCTCCAATACATTGCCACTAACTTTCAGCAGAGGGCTGGTACAACATGAGAGAGGCCCTTCCGGGGAAGTACCATACCCATTTATCAGGAAAACAGACTTCAATATCCTTTAATAGCAGGTGCACGCTGCATTACAGAACTACAGCAGCTCTTCAGGTCAGAAATAAATGTGAGAGTTTGGTTAAAGAACTTCCCTAGAAGACCACATATGTCAAAGCCCAGGCACGTAAGTGATGGCAATATGATTCTTACTAGCTAGAACTGGAGGCACTTTTTCCCTCTATCTGTGAAATGAGCTTTAGATCACACACATGCAACTTGGCAGCCACTTGACTGTGCCCAGTGATGAAATGATCTCTCTTTTGACTGATGAACTGCCCATGAATCACCAAGTTCCTGATGTACAAACACCAAAACCTGTTGCGAGATTTTAGAATTGGCCGCATCTTTGACAGCACAGACTCTTCTGTATTTGGAATGGTCCCTCTGCTGCACTCCTACACCATTGGTTTTTCTTGCTAGTTCTGTGGAAGTTAGAAGCATCAAGGCCTCTTTACTTCTTTACCTTTACTTTATGTGCGGAATGAAATCCACCCCTGCGCAGGCTGCCAGCATGTAGTGCAAAAGGCTAAGCTTTAACTAACAAGGAGGAGAGAAGTGATGTTTAGATGGTTCTGCTATTAGACAGGTGTTTTCCCTCTACACAAAGGAGGACTCTTACCTCTGTGGTTTCATCTTCAGCTCATTGCTTACTGAATACTCAGCTTTAGATGGCATGATAACACTACCTAATGGAACCGGGTTATTCTAAATAATCCAAATATTGCCCCCTACACAGCATTATTTCAGCTAATATATCAATAATTATCTGCCAAATTACATTAGTTCTTTATTTAAGCTATTACCAATAGATGCTACTTTGCTTGTGATTGAAACAGCTCCTTTTCTAGATCAAAGTATTTCCTGTTATATTGCAGCAATATGATTTGGCCTAATTCTTTTCTAAAACATCTTTCTTCAAGAATTTTCATTTTGTATTAAATTTCAGAGATCCTGGGTTCCTTGTAAAATAGAAATTCCACATTTTGACCAACTAAGTGTTCTCGCGAAATTTATTCCTAAACGCTTTATATTGACAGAAATGTTTTCCTAGCAATCCTCTTACACATGCCCTTTGGCAAACTAATGTACAAGAATCAAAAGGCAGTCTGGCCTCCTACAGAGAGAGCAGCCAGGCAGTTTTCCCCACCTCAACAGAATGAAATATCATGAAGAAAACAGCAGCAGCATCTTTAAGGAAAATTACAATTGCCAATTACTTCATTTTAATAACCTCTTCACTTCTTCCTAACACTAAGAATGTCTGCTTGGGTGTATACCAGATGCAGAACAGTATGATTAGTTACACAGGTAAGGAATTTTATGCTGGGATAGGTTATTTTTAATATGACTACTTCTCACGTAATGATTTTGGTATGACATTATCTTGTCATCAACCTCCACACTGCATAAAAAGCAAGCCTGCATTTTCATTCTTTGCTCCCCATATTCAAACTAGCCTCCATTTCAACACTCTGCATAACCTGCTTGGTGACTAATCCATAACAGTACTAACCTTAAAAAAAAAAAAGTCAGTCATCCTCCAAAACTTCCAAAGGATTCTTTCAAGAAGAGTAACTACAGAAAATACTAAATTGTAATTAGCTCACACACTTTAGATGAATGTACGCCCACAACTAACCTTTAATTTGGTTAAGGTATGCATATCTGCAATGAAATCCAGCACTTCCCCAACATATTGCCTCATGCATTCCATTGCTGCTGTTCCACACTACAATACAAAAGAAATATGTTTAATGACCAGATTTTGAATATATTCATGTTTTCATCTTTGCTTCTTCTTCACAAAAATGCTGTTTGTCTGTCTCAAATCCTCTATTGTCTATTCTAAATAGGAGTAAGCATTCTTGGATCTTTTTCTTCTCATACTAATTTGCCTTCTTATCTGATGATAGTGTGTGTGTGTATGTATATATATATATATGGATGGATGGATGTATAAAAAGTCACCCTAGCTGCTTCATGCATTATAAAAGAATCTTACCTGTTACAACAATAAAAGATTATCTGATGAAACTTGCAATAATATCCCTAACAGATATCTCCTAAAATTTACATTAGTCCAGAATCAAAGTTTTTTAAAGCTGATGAAAGTTTACCAGCTCATTTCTTTAAGCAACTGAGCACTTCTGTAAGCGAAACCAATCAGCTACTTAATTTTGTTTTCCAGGATTGTAACAGGAACAGGTGCCCTTAGGTTGACATGATTCATGATGAAAAAATAGTTTAAGTGACTGTCCTCATGTATTTTCCTTATAAATATCATTGTAATGTTTAAGTGCAACTTTTTTTTTTTTTTTTAAACTAACAAAAGGTTTCTGGAGTGTTCCTGAGCAACATCATTCAAAATATAGCATCTTAATGGCACTCAGATTTGTTGCAATCTTCAAAAGGATGGCAAAGGCAGCATTTAAATTATTCTTATTATTTGCACTACACAACTTTTAAAAAGTAATTTTTGCTGTACAGTATTTAAATAATTTGTTTTCAGAAATGCTGAAATAAAACAAAACCTTCTACAGTCACACAGCTAAATATGCACAATAAAGATGCAATTTTTCCTTTAATTGTATTTAAATCTGAAAAACTATATCATACAATTAAACCTTACGGCATTCTACATGCCCATACAAGGGCTATAAGGGAGAAATGAAATCCTTCTGTATTCCTTCATGAACGGCTCCATTTTGACCATAAAGGTATAAGCACTGAGAAATGATTTGTACCAGAACAAGAATGATCGCAAGGGGAAAAATAAAGGGATTCAGTGTAGTGCCTACTGTGTTTTTGCAGTACAAATTTTCATAGTCCCTTTCCTAGAACACAGTGAGAAATGTCGACTGAGCCTTGGGCTGATCCAAGACATGCCCAAGGTGTGCAAAGCAGTCAATGGAACAAAACTGTCACATTAGATAGAGGCTCCCAACAGAGCAGAAAGTCCTGCAGAAAAGCTTTCAGAAGGCGATATGACTAAATAGGTATCATATATCACCTTATGTCTGTATGTTAATGATTTGAGGTGAAGATAATTCTAGAGGAATTCAAGGGGAATTGTGAATGCTCAACATTTCTCAAAGATCAAGTCTTTATAAATGCCTCATTTTCTGGGACCAAGTGAAAACAAGGCTTAACTTTAGAGATTGAATGATGGAATTACCTAATAAGGTATCTTTTTTCTTAAAGCAGGCTAAAATGATTGTGCCCAAAATCACGGCCTCATGGTATAATATCACAGTAAAGTTTATCAGGGGAAAATATGCTTCTTTGACCTCTGTTTAATCATATACACTCGGAAACTTATTACCTTATCTGAGCATACACATGAACAAGATCTGGATTTGATCACAAAATTAGTCAGCTTTAGCTGAGTTTTAGTTGCTGAAATTTGAAAATCTGTTAACAGTCTATATTTAAGCAAAAGACCTGGGAGTTTCTCATTTTTCCACATTAGTATAAATCTACGTGTTGTTGAACTATACCACCTTCTGGTTTTTAAAACACTATGTCTGTCAGTTCCCTTGACAGAATAATAAACGGTAAAATGAGGTCACTGGCAGCCCTGCCAGAGTATCCTCCATCCAGTTTACGTGGACTAAGGATTCCAAACAAGTTCTAAAACACTGAACAACAGAATTATAAAAGATGTTATGCTCAGACCTCTGAATAATAATGCTCTATTGCAAAAGACTCATGTTCAATCATGTATTCAGTTTTATTCAAGCAGTAAGCAACTTCCTTCTCTACAATTTCTTCTGAAATGATCCCTTTCCTATCATACTTTGTAACACCAATGTCAGTTTATCTACTTAACCCAAACATAAGTTAACACATTCCCTTGAGAGAGGGACATCATTGAAGATTTGAGTTAAAAATCACACACTTCAGAAGATATACAGGCAAAAACCTACTGGATCATCCCTAGAGCTGACAGAGACACACATGTAGGGAAGAAGGTTTTCCACAGCTCATGAAGTAGACCCAAGCTAACTCTCATCCATCTGTTTGAGTACTCTGTGATATGTGTCACGGAACAACTCAAACCCTCCAGCTGTGTTACGCTATGCATGTTCACCAACCACCTATTCAGTAGCTAAGCAACTAGGAGTACTTGTTATTTAGCTACATGCATCAGCAGGATATATATATAATTGTATATGCCTTATATATCACCATAAGAATGCTTTGCATCCCTTTTTTAACCAGCCTTTTGTCAGAATGAAGGCAATGGCTAGTAACTTCCCTCTCTGTTGCCATTTTTTGAGGCATTCAGCTGGTCTCCCCACATCTGGTCTTCTATAGATCCCTAGCAGAAGCTTTGGCTAAAGTAAGTTGTATGGGCCGCATGACTAACTACTAGTGAGAGCAAGGGCAACAAGATCAAGTTATGAACTTTTCCAACATTCGAAAAAAGGAAGAACTTCAACTTCTGCCTGCAATACACCTTGCCAATCAAAGGAGAAATGAGAAGGAATGAATGTTCAACTGGAGCAAAGTAAGCTTAATAAGACACATTTTTAAAAATCAAAAACTATGAGACAGTTTGATTCAGTACTTACTCCAGGCATTGAAGCAATCATCTGTTTATGCAAGATTGTTGATTCAGCCAGTTTTGTTCCAGCATCTGCACAAACAAACTAAGAAGAAATTAAAGATGAATTATTTTTGGAGGAACCTTAAGATACTAATAAGTTATTTATGACTTTATTAAGATCAGTTGAGATCTCTTCTTGCTTATATTTGTGGTAATTTGCCTTTACAGCTCTCTTATTTTATAAACAACCTAGTTTATTCACTATTATAAGTGAGTTAATTCTAATGGAGAAGGAAAAAAAAAAAAAGACTTTAATGTGCCTGATTAATATGCGTATACTGTGAGGGAGCAATTTGAAGAGTGTTATATAATAAAACAGATTTTCTTTGTGAATACAAATATATCTCTCTGTAATTCTTTGGAAATATCAAGTGTTCTTTCACTACAGCGTAAACAAAGATAGAGGAGAATAAGGCAGCATGCAGTCTTCTCCACTGTGGTACAATAATGCCTTCCTTCACTGAAGTTCTACAAGGATGAATTACATGAACCATTTTCAAATTCAGAACAGACTGTTATGGTGTAGTATAACTTCTCCATAACATATGCCACAAAACTGTACTTGGCTTTTTCAGAGAAAAGTTTAGAAAAACTCTCTTAAGCCAGAATATCGCTAACTGATTTTCTTATGCTTTTATTTTCCTTGCTTTCTTTTCTATCTTTTTTCACTTCTTATTCCTGATTCCCTTGCCCTAAAATCTCTGAAGTCCACCTCATTCATACTTTAGATGTTAATGTTTAATATTGTTATTTAATCTCTGTAATATTGTTATTTAATCTTTATAAGCTTCAATAATGCATTTGATACTCTGCAGAGAAGATGATCTCCTTGTTCCTAAAACTTTGTTGTTCTAATGCTGTATTTGCACTTAAGCAATTTCTGTCTATAATGATGCAGTGTAACTTTCTAACCAAGAGCAGGTAGAAGAGCAGAACTTACAAGCTGAGATATAAGCCTTAATTTTCTTTCTTGACAGTGAATACTGTAGTACCTTCACAAATAGAGGCAGATACTGACTACCCAATATACAATTGTTTGATGCATTTTCGTTAGTGCTCTCAATGACTCACCTTTCTCTTGAAAATATTCCCCAATATCCTTATCAGTGCTAGAATTTACTTGTACGCTTCCACTATCTTACACTTCCACATTTCAATGACAGATTTAATCTGAGCTCTCAGACTGCCTACTAGGACTTGGAAACAACACATGCATCAGACCTATGTCTTAACCAAGGGTCTGTTCTTTGCGAAAAATACCAGTAAGAATAATCTAACTGCGTATCCTCAGAAATAGACCTGGCTCCAGTTGATTCTGCTCATGCTAATAAATTATTTTACACTAGAATAAGCCAAAAGGAAATAAAAGAAGAACCTGACTCATATTTCAGTTGAGAGATAGTCTTTTACTCCACTGTACCAGATCTCTAATTATTACAGGGAAGGAAAGCAGAGCCTCAGGGACTGAGTTATGGGCTGTGTCAATCCAGACTTAATCTTAGTTCAAGCAGCGATCGTGACTCTCCACTTCTCTTTTAAGAGAAGGCCCATAAACAGTCTTATGCAAATAGATAACAGATTTTCTCCTAAAGCCAGAAGCTGGCTGCTCTGGATCACAGGAGATATGAATCATTTCATCAGCCTCTGAAAATGAGATATCATACAAGACACTTATATCCACATCGGGTGCTGTTGTGGGAGGTATGAATACATCCCAAAGTGAATAGAGCGTATGGGAACGGTGCTAGGAGGAGAGGCCAGGCAATTATCATTTTATCCTTACTTCCAGTATGTAAAAGGGAGTTTTGCTTGCTGACTCTTATCAGATGATTGAGTCAATACAAAGGACAAGTGTTTACCAGTTAAATCTCATTGCTAAAACTGAAGTGGCCTTAAGGAACATCTTTTTTGCATTCTCAAATGAGGAATTTTGGATTGACTAGACTATAGAGACTACATTGCCTCATAACCCTTTGGAGTGGCCCTACGACTGAGGTATATAATAATGTAGAAAAGCTGTTTTATTCTGTAATTCAGGAAAAGCAGTTGAAGTCAACAAGCACTGACAAGCACAGTATCAGGCTGCATCGCTGCATTCATCAGACAGAATGAGGTTCGTGGTTGCTAAGCTATTTGGTGGTCACGGCTGAGATTGTCAATAGAATCTGTTTTTTTTAATTAAAATGAATTTAAAAAAAAAAATCACCCTTTACCCTCAAAAGAAAAAAAAAAACCCAAAATAGTTATTTTTCCCCCCTGCTCCATTCCTTCCCCTGATATTGATGCTATAATAATTGTTTTCAGAGTTATCTTAACTACTATGTAATTTAACTTGTCAGTGTTATTTCTCTGTCAGTTGGCAACCACTTATTTTCTATGAGTAATGTACCAGTACTCAAAAGCAAACCAGCCTATAGTAAGCTTTGACCACTTAACAGGAGGGAAGAGGCAGTGAACGGAGCTGTCATGCTGAGAGCATTGTGAATGATCTACATTTTTGCTTGATCCGTATAGACTGCTGTTATGCCGGTCCCCTATCACTTACTAAAGTTACTAAACACACATAATGCTCAGCCCATTGTAAACAATGATAGTCCACCCGGTACTGATGGGCTTTAGTAAATTGTTTTCGCAGTACAGGCTGCTTCTTTCCTGTTTGGTGCCAAACTGCACCACAGCTGGCATTTTGGGGCAAATAGATTTTTCAAGAGTCTGTATCTTACTTTCTCAGATTTTCCTCTAAAAAGCTAGCTTAATTCCTGCCTCAGCAAGCTGCAGAATGAAAGGAACAGAGATATTGCTTGTATGCTCTTTCCTAGGAAAAAAAAAAAAAAATCAATGTTAAGAGAGAGAACTTCACGGACTGGAGACAACTTCCTGTCCGTTTTGCCTAGTTAAGAAACTGGGTTCTAGCCCATGATGAGTTAGCACTCCTTCCTACACACAAACTATTTATTGGCTTTGGGGCTACAACAGGGAGACAAGGCTGTGGCTGGGATTGCTCTGCCTTTGGAATGCTGTTTGCAGGCCACTACATTAACAACGTTATTTATGTTGTTTGACTCCTCATCATCCCTGGAAATGAGGGTTCCTTATTTAGCCGCTTAAATTTCATTGTGACAGCACAATGTATGCACCTATGTTTACAAATGCAACTTCTGGGTGCCGATTCAAAAAAATCCTTGCTTCACTTGACACCACCAGCACTTTTTGGAATCATGTTGAACTTGTCATTTTTGGGGGTGTTTTTGTTGTATTTTTGTTTGTTTCTGCTGAATTTGGGCTGAGATAGGATCAGTATGAAAACAACACGAGGTAGATCTCCTGTACCTGCACCAACAGCAGTAGGTTCATGTCGGGTAAGGGTGACTTTAACTTGAGTGCCTGTAGTAACTCCAAGATGACACTGCGGGTCAGGTAGAATTTATCTCTTTCCTACAACAGAAAAACATGGAATTAAGGATGCCCTGAAATTCACTGACATCCACTAGTCAGCCATAAAGATACCTTTTATCTAAATTTGAGAAGAAAATATCATAGAAGTGCACTTTTTGTTCCCTGTCTTATAAAGCAGACAGACATGATTCATCATTTATGTAATTCTATAGACTGATCGAGTGGACAGCAGTGAGAAAATACTTGTGATCTTCCCTTCAATTTACATTAGGCACTATTATGAAAGTTTCTATATTTCACATGTGAAATATGAATAGGTTTTATGAGACATTTATACAGTCCAGGCACACAGGGTGGTGCTTACTGTATAGGTCCATATAAAGGAAAAGGGGGAAAGCAGTAAGGTTTCATACAGGAGAAAAAAAATTGGCCGTAGCTTTTAGCATAATTCTGTCATTAAACCTGCCAGAAAAGCCCCATGTTTTATCATACTTCGTCTGTTGTTGTCCACCTTAAAACGAGAGTGTCTCCATTATGGCAGCTTGGACATCTGTTTTCAGTCATTGGGCTAGCAGCACTTTTCCTCTTACACAGTAAAAACCCTCTTTGCTACAGTTGCCACAACAAAAAACATTTTAAAACACATACAGGAAGATAAGGTAATAGAGATTAGAACAAAAAGGCCAAGAACACAGACTTGTAGACGTGAACCAAGATGGAGATGTAAGAGATAAGATGAGCCTGTTATTCATCTTTCTTTGAAATTCTCTGACTTTAGGAGACAGTACATGGAACAAATCTATAACATGCTACTGAATGTAGCAAACCAAGAATTTTTGATCAGCAGTTAGACTTACTCTGAGCTCTCTTTCACTTGACCATCAGAGATGAAAAAACGTTGTCCAGTAAAGGGGGCATATACAAAGTATGTCTAAGATTTAAAGCCTACAATCTTCCACCTTGTAAGTCTCATGCACTTGCCTGCTTGCTTGCTTAAGTTAAACATGTGTAACTTTTCACTCAGTCGGGGCCTCAGTTCCTCTGTGACACCTGTAAAATGGAATAATAAACTTGCCTCTTCCTCAAAGAGGTCTGGTTTTATTGCTTAGGGTCAGTTTGAAGCCCATCTTCAGCACCTGCACAGAGTAGTAAGCACAACTAAAAGAGGTGGACTTGGAGGAGATGAACAGCCTTCCTCTTCAGAAACCAATGTCAACATATTGTATCTGGGTAGCACACAGCCAGACAAAGCTTACAGGAACAGCGAGCGCCTCCAACAGCACCCACATATATTTTAATGAAAACAGGTTTTAAATATCAGCCCTTGATTTGGGAGGAGATGCCAAAATGACAGAATCTTATTCTTTTCATGGACAGTATGATACTAGCTTGTGAAGCAAAAGGTCTGAGTTCAAGGTCCTGTTTCGCCTGATTTAAAGAAGAATTTTGATTCCAATCACTTGGAACGTGTAGTCTGATAACACATTTAGCTGATGGAATGGGTTCCACACTACAGTGGTGCTTGTCTGCTACACTGAGGCAGTCTAGGCAGCTAAACTCACACACAGAGAACTAACACTCAACAAAAAAAAAAAAAAAAAATCACATTCCTTTAGGGAACAGCAAATATTGGATCTGTTCAGCTGTATCATGGAGTACTTGTCCCCTCAAGACATGATTTCAAGTCATGTGTCTCACATAACATAACACATAACATAACACAAGAATGCCCAGGAGAGTTCAGACCAGAAGAGATGTACTCAGTAACTTCTCTCCAACAAGGCCATAAGCAGATGCCTAGGGAAGCATAAAACAAGGGAAACCATGTATAAGTCCTGCTAGTACTCTTACAGCCACCAGCTATTTTCAACTCGGGGAACTTCTGAGCTCAGTAAGGTCTCAATGTATTTCCTACTTCTCAGTGGATTTCCCTTCCACATATGACCCTGCCCTCTTGAACCCACGTCAACTTTCAGCACAGTGTTTGGCAAGAAGTTCCACGCTGTTTGAAGAACCACTTCCCTTTACTTGTTCTAACCTTGGTTCCTACTAACCTGATGCTTTCTACTTCTGGTACTGGAAAAGGCATGAAATTACCCACCCCTGTCCAGGCCACTTCTGAACGTACAGTCCTCTATCACATTCCCATCAATTGTTGCTTTTTCAGACTGAAGAGCCCTGATTTAGTTGCTCTTTACGTGCAACTCATTCCACACACTGATCATCTTTGTTACCCTTATCTGAACTTCCCCCATTTCCAGTAAGGATGTAGTAAAATTGGAGAAACAGAACTGTGCACAATACTCAAGGCATAAAACAGGCCCTGTTTCCTGCTAGAAAGCATATTCCCCAGCGACAGTGACCCTTCCCACTGTTATATGCCTTCACAAACCTGAGGCCCATCCATAACGCAACACTCTCTGTGTTCAGAGAGTTGATGATTACATCCCCCAAAACACTGGATATGATTTCCTATCAGTAACCTGATAGAGTAGGCTGCACATGCTGCAAAAGCATGAAAGCTAAAATTCTTGCTGAAAGCATTCCACTGCTTTAACAGACTAACAGCTATGATGTACAGGACATAATTGGGCCACAATAAATTGCTTTGTCGGGACACTGAGAGGGAAATAGGCTCCAAGAATCTCAACTTTCACTGGCTCCAAGGATGATACAACAAAGTGCTACCCCTTTCTCAAAGACCACCCTTATCTCACATAGCAAATTCTCAATTTTTACATGGTGCGTAACACACAGAGAGATGAAGCAAAATCAGGGTAAATGTTTTTAGACATCTGACCTCTTGCTTCCTGAATTGTAATCAGGAGTGATGACACTGAGGTCAGTGGCCCAGAGCCCCCTTCCTATTGAAGTCTGCTTATTCCTATCATTGTGCTGGTGGATGTCACCAAAATAAGCATAGTTTAAACATACTGTAAGAACTTTATAATCTGCCAGAAAAATGTAAAAGGGGCATTAGCTACATGAGACTAAAGCCCAGAGGAGTCACATGTGTCAATCTGGTCCCAAAGAATCAGGAATGAAATCCCTTTAATCTCTGTTCAGCCAAAATAACCCTCTCAGATGTCTGTACATCCCTATAAAAAAAGCTGCCTTCTGACCTTCAAATCGACTTGCCAGAGGTCTATGCATAGAAACTACTGAAGTTTTTTTCCAACAGGGTCCCAACTTAGTAATAAGAATAGTAAATTTGGTACTTTAACGGAGTAGTATGCTACCCTCCAAATAAGCCAGGACAAACAGAGGATCTTTATTTTGTCTCTCTAGCTACTACAGTAATTACAACTACTAAGGATGGGCTGCTTCAGTTTTCTCAGAAAATTTCAATAGCAAAATTATATCATTTCCAATTCAGTGACATACAGCATTTACTTAATAAGGGCCAAGAGAATGTTAGTAAAAGGCTAAGTTCAGGTTAAAGCTTCAGCAGCTGTAAGAGATAAGAAATTCAAGAAGTGTCCATTTAAGACTTCAAGAGACTGAGAGGAAAATTGAAGATACAAAGACTACAATCCACAGAACTGATGCTACTCAACTGAGAGATCCAAAGGCAATGAAAAATCAAATTGGTGACCTGGAACAGAAACTCAGTAACGAAATAACAGATTGACGTGACTCTTTAGACTCAAAGACAAGAGAAACTGAGATATTCCTGCCACAGAGTGTTAGTGAAATGCTGGAGATGGGGGTGGGGGGGCCGGCCGGGAAAGAATTAAAAAAAAAGATTTGGACTGGTTGTACAGCACTGATCTCTGAAGTGCACAGTAGAGTGGCTTCTTCTTTGGAAAGACAAATAAAGTTTACTCCATAGTATACTTGAAAGTTGTGCCACTGTGTTTTGTTCCAGCAGGCACGTTAAAAGATGCAAAACAATTACATCCAAATGTTTCAACGTTCACAAATTATATTCCTTCTGTAATTCACTTCCACATGATACCATATCGCAAGCAGCATTCCATTCGGCTACACTGATTTCCACTGTAGAGAAACCTAGATCTCACAACTGGACCATTTTTCTAAAGGCAATCATTAGTTTGGTATTTTTAATTCAAAGCCCTGGTAAGCTTTCAGCAGTAACAAAGATAATGGAGCGTGCACAGTTCCACTGTATCAAGCATTTTCTGGATATAAATTGCAGGAGAATATTAACTAATGATCCCATTTTGGGGTCACCAGCTTGCATTAAACTACATCAAGAAATAGATTTTAATAAGTGCTATAATCCAAGTTTCCCACGTACAATTAAGTAGTCAATGGAACACTGAGCCAGGAAGTACGTAAAAAACGTTTTTAAAATATCATGTTTTTAATAAAAAATGTTGTGAAGTAATTGAAACTGCAGAGTACATGGAGAGTGAAACGATCCCTGTATTTTGCAATTTGCATTAGTAGGCACTCATGAAATAGTTTCATCAGATCTCAGATACAAAAGGCATGTCTTGGTTCAGTTTTAAATGGGGCTTATTTGCTTCAATGAAAAACCCTCCCACACTTTGTTCCACTGCACTTTAAGTTAACATTTTTCTGACTTTACTTTGCCTTGACCAAAGCTTTAAGTATAGCGCTCTCTCAAATTACTTCCAACAGCTGGACAGTCTCTTCAGTATTTATGATTTTTTTTCTTTCATGAACACTTATCTTTCAAAGGAGACAAGAAAAGGTACAATTTTCTCGGTGTCATTAAACATGCTGATTGTTTCTACTTAATGTTCCAACTCATTACATCTGATAAAATAGTTTTTTTTTCTTGTTAATGTAGCTTTTATGCAAGATTGTCGTTGCTTTTATCATTTCTTCTTCACTGTCTGTCCATTCTAAGTCTTAAAGAGACTGAAGCGACGCATGTTCCAGTTGTACAACATCAACCTAGAAAATCATGTAGCTACTTAAGAAAGAATGTTTCCTGATGTTTAATTATTGTCATGACAAAAGTATCTAGGATGAAAAATTGTGCACATAAAGGCTGAGTAACATTTTTGTTCAGTGTCTTAACAATCTACATAATGGAGCATATAGGACCCTAATAAATGGTTGGATTGTGTTCTGTGAGTTTTTTGGTGTTCATCCTCTCACCAATAGCTACAAAAATATACTTGAATAACTGATTGTTGCTTGTATACAGCAGCTTTCATTCAAGAATCTTATACTTTTCAAAGGTGGACATACACTGCTATCTCTTTTCTATGCAGATTTTAGCCATGCAAAGTGAGTTACCTAATACAGAACAAAACAGAAACTAAGTTGGGAAACCCCTAAATTGGAGTCTTCTACTCTGATCATCAATCTGCTGCCTCCCTCAGAGCTGTCCTTTCAAGATGCAGCTCCAAGAATATTTTAGTTTAAACTGCACAAAACGTGGCTAAACCTGTGCACTAGGACAGATACGACTACACCCTTACAACTAAACAGGCATTTTAAGTCATGCAAGAATACCAGATGACCTCTACACGGGAAACATTTTCAAAGTCATGAAATCATATCAAATTACTTTCCTCAGCAACATTTTCAGCAGGTTCCCTTTATCTATGTCTATACTGGGAATGTGAAAGTCACTATTATTAATAGACACTGAATCAACATAACTACTTGATTAGTCAAACTACATTAAAACTGCTGAAAAGTCTGAAACTTGACACTGATTTCACCATTAGTTACAGACTTTCTACTTGAGGGAAGGAATATTTTTCTGTCCTATTTTCAGTTGTCTCTAATGAAACGTACAGTCTCTTTGTTACCTTAGTGAAGGCTCGGTAGCACAAACCACACAGTTCTACCAGGTAGGCCAGAGTAAAGATAGCGTTTTGAATTACAAAGCTTAGTAATTTTGAAAATGGCTCCAGAAGACTCTGCAATGAGATGATTTAGGGAAATCAATAACTGATTGCTCAGCAAAACAATAAGCGTTCCAGCTCTGAAATGTGTGAACGCAACAGCATCGTTATTTTTAGCTCAGGGTTATTCTCCATGATTTACACTGTTTCAGGCAAATAGCTGTTCCAGCATTTGTATCCATGCTTATAAGGCAAATTAGAAGCAAAACGTTAGCAAATGGTTTCATCTCTGACACTGATGAGTGCTTATGAGATATCAGAGAATCTGTAGTGTTCACACAGGAAAACTCACTGGTGTTAACAGAATCGCACTAGTGAGAGGACTGCAGAATCAGACGCATAGGATATTGATTACTACAGGCTTTTTTGAAAGAGCGCATATCAAATCTTTAATACGTTATATACTCACATCCACACAGGAATGTAATCCCGCTCACATTTTACTGTAACCTAGATTCCAAAGCTCTTATCATTCACCATAGGGTATCGAACTGCACAGTTTTATGCTTACACATTAATACTTTCGTAGCTAGGGGCTAAGAATACACTTGTAGAATAGCACAAGCCGGCTAAATCGAAGGCTACAGACTTGGGTCTGCCTTGGAACTTACCCTGGTGGCACTAGTGGTTGGTATCTTCAACAAGCAAATCATAATTCTTAAACTAGAATCCAAAGAACACTGCGAACATATTTGAAGGCAGAAAAAGAAGGGTTAGTACATTTCTGTGCACATCTCTTGCTTTTAGTGGTGGCAGTTATAAATAAGCTATAGGTAAAGTCTGAAAAATGATCCCTGATGACTGATCTTTATTTACTTTTCTTGAACTGGCTTGTTCCTGAAGACACAGTCACATCCTCCCTCAACAGTAATACAAGACAGCATGGGCCTTGGGATGAGAACATTTCACTAAAATGTTGGCTTAGGAGTAACTTTACTCCCTGTATGACAGAAATATCCCTTAGAAGTACATCATCAAAATATACATAAAATATATATATAAGTATATGTAAGTATTTAAGCGTGTGTATGCATGTGTGTGTATATATATATAAACACACACACATGCAAATACACACATATAGATATATAATAACATGTGTTTGTATGTGTGCGTGTGTGTGAGAGTGGGTTAACAGGAGGTACACACCATTTACTTCACGTTACTCTTTTGCCATTGTCCTGGGCTATGACATTTTACCCCACTCCATGGCACGGCTGCAACTCAGACCCCTGACATGAGAATGTGCCCTGGCAACAGCTGCTCCAGAGACCATTCCAAAGATGTTTTCTTATAGGGTAATTTTCAGGTGAGATATTGAAGCTTCACACTCCAATATCTCTTATGTGTAAATCACAGAGTTTGCAGCAGAGAATGGGACTTTTCAAGGTCCATCCGTTGTCTTGCCTCTTCCCTGCTGCAAACATCTAAAATAGCAAAGAGTCATTTATGACCCTAGAGGAAGAAACGGGAGATGGAAAATCCCTCTCTGCTTAGTTCAGGAGCAAGCAATTGTTCTACTTGTATCATTAATGATACCTCCCATGATTAAAAGGGAAATCAAAGTAAACACTCTATCTGAATGTTCCATAAATGGCAGATATGCAGTTGGAACCATTATGACCCATTCACTGATTGAATTTTTACTTTAAATTATTCAAGAGTCAACAAATTTGGGGTGGCTAGTAACCAAAGGGAACGGTTATTCCCTGTTTGGCTTAGTGAAGTGATACAGGGTGGTACCTCAGTTCACCAACAGCTAAAGAGTTTAAGATCTGACTACTGCTTAACAGACAGTGCCAAATAATCTTAAATGATTTATACAGTTTGGTGGTGACACCCAATTTAAAACAAAGTTATAAATCACATAATATTAGATTTTGGATCCCTCAGCTCATACTGAGCAACGCTGCTTTGCGCAGAAGAAGTTATTACTGGGCTCACTCTTGCTGTGGGAAATTAAGTCAGAATAAGGGTTTCAGAATCCATTGTTTACTGGTAAGATACAGAAAATTTTTTACTGTGTTTACTGAAAAGACATATGGAAGTGTTTGCACCGGGAGATAAAACCTCTCTGCATGTTCTCTGAGCAATGAGAACTCAGAGCCCAAAGCTTGCAGATTCAGTTTCTACAGCTATATCCTGATTACAGTCAGAACTATAACCTGGCCATACAAACAGGCTAGGCTTAATACTCATTAACCTGAGTCCTCCTCTGTTTGACTATTGTGTACTTTTAGCAAATTAATGATTTTCTTGCGGGTTTCATTCTGCTTTAATAGTTGAAACAAAATGGATTTTTATTGTCAAAGTGCAGATTTTCTCAAATGCAATGTTGTAATCTGACAAAAGCAGGGCATGGAAAGGGTGGAAGCAAAAAACTAACATGGAGGGAAAAAGTCCTCACTTGTCAGAGTTACTATTGCTACCCGCGGAAAATATTATTAAACAGATGGATCATTTCACTCATTCTGGAAACATCAGCTGAATCACTATAACCTGCACTCTGGCTCTGATTTCCTATCTGCAGCCTTCCCACTGCTGACCAACGCAAGCATCATTCCTGTCTCCAATGTTTTGGTCACCACATACCTCTACAAACATAAAATAAGCTGCATTCAACGTGTCATACCTTAAGTGGCAAAACACAAGGGAGTTTGGTAAGGAAGGTCTGAAACTGATTACTAATCGTGGTCCAGAGGTTGCTAGGTGAATCCATTGGCAAGGCTTCCATAAAGGTAGCAACGTTTTCTAAACAGCGTAGCATTGCACCCCCTGCTGGTAAGTTCTTTTTGTTATTTAAACCCTAAGAAAGAAAACGGTAAGTATAAATGACTGTAAACACGTAGACACGGCCACCTAAACAATATTTGAAAATGCTGAGGTTAATCAGCTCAGACCAATACTACCTACCTCTTCTAAACTACTAATGATAAAATGTTGTGCAGGGAATTTGAACTATACATGTGACAGTTGAGTCTAGTTTAAGTCCTAAAATACAGATCAAAAGATCTCCATGCCAAAAGCTTAAGATGCTAAACTTTGAGCTAAAATGTTAGCTCATAGGCTAGTTAGATTGGCATGGGATTGAAAACAAAGCAAGACTTGCAAAACAGTCACCAGTGGATTTTCTGTATTCTCCCTGGGCCAGTTTTAAACAAGATGCGTTCACTAATGTTTAGTGGATAACGCGGGCTGTTTTGGCTTGCATAATAGGCACAGGCGTGGAAAGACATAAGCAGTTCTAACATGCTGTCAAAATCCTTGTTTGTATGAAGCATTCATACAAACAAAAATCTTCACATTCTTAGAAGAGCAGAAGGATACATGCAGGTGACTAGCACTAGTGGAAGGATAAGAGGTTACAGTGGAAACAAAGCAAGTGCGCAGAAGGCGGCCAGGGAAAGGCAGACACTACAGACCTTCGGACTGCTGGGAGACACTGCCATCAGATACAATGGAGACAGAGAAGTGAGAGGCATGAGGAGAAATATTTCTGAAAGCCAGAAACTGCACCAAGGAAAAGGGTGGCCTACACTTCCAATGTGTGGAAGTGCCCCAGGTCTGGTCTGAGAACAAAAGCTGTCAGTGAGAGCAAAACGCAAAAGGAAAATCATGAGGATACAATAGTCTGGTCCTACTTCTAGAGACCACATACCAAGAATTCATATTGCTTTTGGTAGTACAAGTTTGAGCTCTTACTGCATGAGGAGAACTGAATTGATATGCCTGGCAGCGCTAGTAAGACTATAGTAACATTAATAGAGCTAACTGACAACATACCTCTAGTAGCTGGCTCAGAGCAGCAATGGAACTCAGTTCACTGAAGTCCATGAGAGATGTGGCCAAGGTCCGTAAAAAACTTCCATCTGAAATTGGAATGACATCTTTGTGCTCGGTTTCCATAGGGGAAGGCTGAAGGGGTTGGAAACGCATGCAGGTACTGCACATTACCTTTAATGTTGCTCTGGAAGAGCTGGGGGAAGATGCCATTGGGGGCCAACTGATGGAACACACAGCGGAGGAATTGCTTGGCCACACCTGCAGCATTTCCAGGAATCATCATGCTGAAAGAAAAGGAAGGAAGAGGAAGAAGAGAGAAATTGTCTGGCAGGTGCAACACATTTCTCAAAGCTGAATACATGGAGAAAATAATTCTTTATTTTTGATTCTTTTATTCATTCTTTTTAATTATAAAAATGTTCAGCTATGACTATGACATAGTCATAAACAGAACTGTCTTGATCAAAAGGAAAAAAACAAAAAAAAACAAAATAACCTTCAGCATGTTGATTTTATGACTTCAGAGCTGAAAAAGTTAACTACATATACTTGAAGTGGTTGTCTAAATAAATAATTGCATTTTCCCTGATTCTCCACATCTTTTTGCCTGTGAGTTGTCAGGGTTTGAACTCTAATCCCTGCTCTCACCCTGTTTGCTGTAGTGATACAGACTGAGGTTCTTGGGTTGGTAAAATATAAAAACAAAAGGAAAAACATATACATTATAATATTAACTTGCCTCTCACGTCTTCCTTCCAGAGACAAAGTACTTCTTAATCACTCATAAACAAAATGGTTTAATTTAAGAAGCTAAAGTATTATCTGTTTACTCATAAATTGCACATCTTAACTTTTTTTTTTTTTTTTTTTTTTTTTTTTTTTTAAAAAAACAGCCTCTCACAATGAACTGATCCTACTCTGTGTCTGATTTCCCCAATAAGACATCACCAGGGTGGGGCTTTCATGTCCAAGGATAATTCATTCCATAAAGCATATGGAGGTGGTGAATCAAGACAAATACTGAACACCAAACAAGTCATAAAGCCCCTACATTGAAATTGTGGAAGCCAGAAGGCACCCATGAATTACTAAGTATCTCATTTTTAACAAGTTCAATCTACATGGATTTGAGTTCCTGCTCATCTTCAGAACACAAGAGATATCTGAACCATGTGAAAAAGGACAGGGTTTTTTCTCTGATTTATAAATCTAGAAGAAAACCTTGCTACAGTTCAATTTGCTTGATTTCGGAGGCAGGAAGGATGACATTTTAAATTAATTGCTTGATATTGGCCAAGGCATCCTTTGTTACCATACCTTTCTGCTTGATTAGAAAAACTGGTACTTGATGCCAACCTGGAATGAAAAAATAGTAAGTGAAGCTCACATGCCTTTTTCTATTTCATTTTAAACTAAGCCAATAAAATTACCAATATTTTTATAATAAACAGAAGTTTTAGAGAACATTTTAAATGTCATCAGAAAGCTCTTTCGAAAAACTCTTAACTTCAGTTAAGTCATGTTTGTACAGCATATAAACTTTATTCAGTCTTCCAACATCACAAACATTTGCCAGCTTTAAAGACAATTACACTGGCCTCCCTATACCGGTCTAATCATAATGAAGCAAAGCTACTGTCTCACATGCACATCAAGGACAATTACTAACCCTGAGGGATTTGGAGAATAAAAATTGCCAGAAGCTGGCCACTGAATGAATTGTTTCCGATTAACATAGCAACACAGACCAGGCCAAAATTCTCCCACTTGGCAGTCTGAAGTGAGGCTTCTAATTCCAGATTTTGGCACCTAAATAAGTGGCCTAATTTCAGAAACACTAAGTACCTAAGAGCTCTTACAAAGTCAGATGAGAAATACTGGGTTCTCAACACTCAAAAATCAGGTCATTTATTTTAGTATCTAAATGCAGGCTTCAAAGCCCGATTTAAGGGCATACAATTATGAAAATACCAAACACAGTCTGAAAGTAAAATTATGCACTTCAATAGCCAGGAGATGTAAACAAATAGAGTCAGGGTTTATAATACCAAAACAACACACATTTAATACCAAATGTCAATAAAAAGCAATTATAAATATGTAAGTTGAAAGTATCTTTCACATACTAAATACCATCCAATTTTTACATTCATCTGCTGCACATCAGGATTTCAGTTGGTATAAGTTGATATGTCTGAGCTGAAAGTTCAGAGAGCTAGGCTAATTTACATCAGCTAACAATCTGGCCTTCATGTATATCTTTGGTCATGATTTCTTTAGGCTGGATTTAGCTGTTGCTTAATGCCCTGTCAGCCTCAGTCCTGAAGACAGGTTCCTCTCCAGCCACCACTACAAAATCCAGCAAGGATTCTAAAGCGCTTCAGTCAAGTGCATTAGCGTAAACCAAAATAGATGGCGATTTCCTTCAACAATGTGTGACAAGCTGGGGACACGCCATCCATTCAACAGAGCCATAACCTCAGGTTGGGGGTCATAGGGGGTTGAAAATTATATTCCCTTTAGTCATCCCAGCGTAAATTAGAAAAACCCATGAAAGCACCTCACTCCATTGCTGTTCGGTGGAGCCCATGTTAAAATACGACATATTGATTCTGCTGTGCAAAGCTAATTCTGTGTGGAAACAGCTCTGAAGCCACCTCCAAGCAACACAGCCCTGACTCTAGAATAACCATAACATCCGCTTACCTTAAAGCGCGTTAGTATTTCTACAGAATTCAGTGGGACAAACACATGCTTAATGGACCTTACTTTTATTTTCAAAAATCTACCACACCATTCTAATACAGCACAAAAAATTCCATCCAAAAGAAAACCAAAGCCCTAGGCAAAGGTCTTTTTCTCCTTTTAAATACGGTAATGCAAATGTGGGTTATTTTGTTTTTTGTTTTTTTTGTTTTAAAGAAAAAAACCCCAACAACATTTGAATTCTAACTTCAGAGAAACCTCACAAAACATGACACATGACACATTTGGGAAGACCTGAAACATTTTGAAATGAACAGCTTGTATGTATTTATCAATAGTAATCTAAACATTTTGTCGCACAAAGGCCATGGACTCCCATCACTGCCTCCACTTTGCAGATGGCAAATGGATATGTTCAAAGTTGTGCAAGTTAAGAACAGAAGTTAACATTTTCAAAGTTCCTCACTAGCTCAGGAGCTTAAGTTCCACTTTCAAATAGGGCTTTCATGCTCGGAAACCTACATCTCATTGGAAATAAATGAAATACAAGAACTAAAAAGCCAAAAATCCAGATTCAGCAACCTGAGCATAAAGGTGCATGCCAGATTTTTTAAAATATCTCAACCTCTAACTGTCAATAACTTGAACCCAGCTTTTTGTTGTTGTTTTTTGTTTTTTTTTTTAATGTTACCTCTTCTGAAAATCCAAATAGATGCCTATCTGTACCTCTGGGTACCCAAAAACTTTTGAAAATCTTTCTGTATATCATTTAGGCATTTGAAAGATCTTAGATTTCCTAACTCCCTTGTTCCCTCTTCTAGATACACCAGTAGTATTTCCTTTTCTAAGAATAAAAACGCAAGAAATCTAATACATTCTCAGCACAACAGGCAACACCTCTGCTGTCAGATAGGTATCTGAAGGTACTACTACAGCACTGCTTGAGGAAAGAGAGATGCTTAGGTTATACATGTGAGGCACCCCAGTGCCTTCCTACCTATATTTGCTACTGAGATGAACTACCTTCTTTTGTATATATTCAAAGCAACTCCTTTGTGGAGAGTCTATTACTGGAATTGGAATTAGTCAGAAATGACAGACTGTAGGAATGACACAGGACATTTAGCAGTCTGCAATACCCCATGTTGTTTGCCATCTGCTGCTCTAAAAGAATCAGCTGTCTCACTCCAAAGATGCAGCATTTCTTCCTCAAAGTACAGGAAAAGATAGCTCACTCCTCCCTCATCCTTCGATAATTTATCTTCCAACGATTTATGCTCTGTGGTTTCTTAATAACCCTTAGTGGTGCTGTACTTACAAGAATCACATAGAGTGGAGGGCATTAGATTACAAATTTACCTCCTTCAGAATTCATTTGCAGTGACAGCAGGGAATTGTAGCCTTGGAATTAATGGAAATGGAGGACTTGAATAGCCAGTCTGCTCAAGTGGAACTAGGAGGCAATGGAGAGGCAGGGCTGCAGGGAGCTATGTCCCTGAGTAGTCCTTGTGACGTGATTTTAACTGCAGTTGCCTTATCCCAGTGAAAAGAATACAGGAAAGGGAGCTGTGCACCATCGCCATGCTCAGCATTGCTCAGAGTTTTCTCCCAAAACACCCCCAGTGCTTTCCTTCCTGCATTTAAGGCAGCAGGTTGTGAAAAAGCTGAGACAGCAAGGACAGGAAATGCAATAGTAATGGGAGACTTCAATTACCACATGCATATTGAATAAAAGGCACATTAGAAAATAACACAAAGATCAAAGGTTTAGATACTATCAATGACTGTCCCCTGCAGCTGCTGGTTAGGAAGCCCTCAAGAGGAGAGGCAACCCTTTAGTCTTAATTAGCATGCAAGATATGGTTAAAGAGCCTGAAGAGCTTCAGGTGTATTAGTGAACATAACATACCTAAGAGCCAACAATCCTTCAGAAGCAACAAAAGTCAGAAAAGCTGACCATATTTATGCTTAACTTCTAAAAGAGGAACTACATGCAAGTGAGAAAGCTCAAAGAAGCTAGAAGGGCATCCAAGAGAATTCAGTCCTCACACGGAGCACAGAAGCTATTTAAGAATACTACATTGGAAGCACAAGGCGTGACGCCAACTATTAAGACTGCAGAAGAAAGGAAGAGTGAGGGAGCTTATTAGAAACAAGAAGGCATCCTTCAAAAAGCTGAAGGCATGTCCCAAGTGAGAAAAGCAGAAAAGAGCAAAAACTGGCAAATTCAGTGTAAAAACAAAAAAAAAGATTGAGGAGCAACTAGCAAAAGAAAAAATAATTGTAAACATTTCTTCAAATAAAACAGGATCAAGAAGCACACCAGAGAGTATGATGCATCAATTGCTGTTTAGGTTACAAACAGAGCACTCGAGGAAAATAAAGCCACTACAGAAAAACCTAAATTAAATGTTTACATCGCCACTCACAGTGAAACAAACTGGGGAGATTCCTGAATGGGAACCTTCCTTTGGAGGGCAGGAAAGCAGCATATCAAATGAGCTTCCGCTATCACTTCAACTTTGGACAGAAGTTACATAATAAATTGATAAAATGACCAGTAACAAATACGCAGGACTAGATGCTATAAACAAAGAGTTCTAAAAGAACTAAGGGAATAAACACTTGTATTATTTCATTCACTAAGCGAGAGGTATATAACCTCTCACTAAAAGTCACCTTGGTACCTGCAGCATAGAGGGCAACACCAAATATGTTAAAATATTCTATAGTAAATGCAGGGAGCTACAATCCTGTAAGCCTCATAACAGTACCAGGCAAAAATTATTATTCTAACACTTGAATACAACCTCAGGAAGATCAGCCTAGCTTTTGCAAAGGGAATTGCCACCTTACAAGCCCACTGGAGTTTCTTCAGTGGATCAACCTGCACATCGAAAAAGTTAGCTCAGCTAATTTAGATTTCCAACTGGCTTTCAAAGTCCTTCACCAAAGACCTTTAAACAAATTTAAGCAGCCATGACAGAAGAAGGAATTTCTTTGCACAGAAAAATAACTGAAAACATAGGAAAAAAAGGTGCAAACGGACAATTTTCACAGTAGAGGGATGTCATCAGGGGATTTCTGCATACATTTGTGCTAGGACCTCTGCCACTCAACTTACTAATAGATGCACTGAAAAAGAGGGTGAGCAATGAAGTGGGGAACATTGCAAGGTAGGACTCTGCTCATAGGCTAAAATACTTATTTGTTTTGAGTTGTTGTTTGACTGCACTACACTGATCAAGAAAAACAGGTATTGCCATGTCTCAGTAGTAAATCTTAGTGCATAGTGACACGTGATGTTCTAAAATGATCTTTTCATTCTTACCAAAATCTCTCAGCTTTGAATTTGGTTATTTTTGTGAGCAGTCTGGTAAGCCACCAGAATATCTCAGAGACAGTACTGAAGTGAGACTACAATGTATGCAGATATACTGAAGCTGACTTCAGTTTTCAAAAGCAGTAGAACTGTATCAGCAAAGGTTTCCTTTCCTTTGTACATGCTGTACAAATCCACAAAGCACTTAAGTACCCAGCATAAAATGAAGTTTGCGTAAACTTAATTCTGTGCACAAAAAAATCTTTCAGTCATGAGAGACGGAGGGAAGTCCTGAAGTTACCTTCCAACAGACTGCATGATGTCCAACAGTAAAGGAGCAGCCAAGTCTGGACTAAGGTGAATGAATGTCGAGAGCACAACTATCGCCAGGCCTAGTGTTTCTTCATCGTATTCTTCAAGGATAGCCCCACAGTCGTGGCACCTGCAAAAAAAAGTTTTAAAAACAGGTATTAAGAAATTTAAATCCAAGTATTACTCTATATACACACATGTATATGTATCATTATGTTTTTTAAAAGTATTGTTATTGAGTATATTCTATTCAAAATTGATTTAGAAAAGTAATATAGTTATGATCTTTCTATTGTTAATAACATAGTCCATGGCTTTCAAATATCATTATAGAAAGTTTTTCCACTAGCGGCACTGGCTGTTTCTACAATGATAAATAAAAGAGTGCCACAGATCAGTCCTAAGTACTGGGACCCACATTGCTAATTGCCAAAATTCTCTGGCTCTGTATTGGACTGCTTCAGTCTGCATTACCTAAGAGAAATCTACTACAGTGACGATTAGCTCTCAGTAATATGAACACCAGCAGGCGTGTGCCACTTGGCCTTAGGTCCCTGGCCCCCTTCTATTTAGCAGTACGGACATAGACAACGTTAGTCATAGATCATCTCTGATGGAGCAATTTCACATTGTCCTTCCTGTCAATCATGAACTATGAAAGAAATTTTACAATTATACAGTTATACAATCTGATTGGCTCCCATAGCAGTTACAGTTATTAAGAAGGAAATCAAGGACCTCTCAGGGGCACAGAACCTTAGAGTTCAGAGAAGTCTACTTTCCCAGGACAGATTTGCTGCTGAGTTACTTATCCCTCCTGAACTGCTATGAGACAACTGATAAAGTTCTGAAATGGCTCTGTAATGTCCAAACACAAGGGGGATGTCAGATTTAGGAGGGATGAGACAGGCTTTCACACCCATGTGAAAAAGGCAAACTAATGTCGGAAACTGGTTTATCTTGGCCCCAAAGGAAAGCTTGCTTTATTTGATCAATCAGTTGCTAAGGACTCCAACAGATTGTGATATTTTAACTTAATGGAATTGTACAGGCAATTTTCCTGCCTTCATTACGGAACAGGAGAAAAAGATGCCAACACAATCATGGAAGTCAAGATCATCTGGTCTGCATGTTAACAAGTGGTGCAAGAGTTTTGGGGAAATGGCCAAAGAAAATGCCAAAGATGAGCCTGACTTTGGGATGGTTCACTTTGTCACACTATAAGGTCTGGCTCCAGTCACAACCTATACAATGGTTTTCACCCGTGATCATCTTGGAACATCCATCTGCTGGACTGAGCACAGGGCTACAAGCAAGAACTTATGGTTTCTCTTCCCAGTTTTTGACCAAATCAATACAGAGCTCTCTATCGACTATTTTACTTCTCCCTTAAATGAGTACACAGAATCACAGAATCGTTTAGGTTGGAAGGGACTTCTGGAGATCATCTAGTCCAACCTCCCTGCTCAAGCAGGGTCCTCCAGAGTGTATTTCCCAGGGTCGCGTCCAGACGGGTTTTGAATATCTCCAGGGAAGGAGACTCCACCACCTCTCTGGGCAACCTGTTCCAGTGCTCTGTCACCCTCACAGTGAAGAAGTTTTTTCTCAAGTTTACGTGGAGCTTCCTGTGGTTCAGTTTCTGCCCATTGCCTCTTGTCCTGTCGCTGGGCACCACGGAGAAGAGGCTGGCCTCATCCTCTTTACACTCCCCCTTCAGATACTTGTTGATGAGATCGCCTCTCAACCTTCCCTTCTCCAGGCTGAACAGACTTATGTTTAACGCTCACCTCACTGGCATTACGATCAAACAATTAATGTTTGAAAAAGCTTTTGAGATCAGCGAAGCAGAAAAGTATGATAAATGCTATGTTGGTAATAGTCAGAAATGTTGATGCGTAGTCACGCCTTTCTATTTCACTGAAAAAACCCATAAGAAGTCAAAAGAGTTTGTCTGTTTGTTTTTTAAAGAAAAAATAGTTGCCAATGGATCACAAGGAGCCATTAGTTTAAAACAGGGAGTAGTATTTCATCCATTTACACAATCAGCTTAAAAAAACAAAACAAAACAAAACAAACCCACACCCTTCTGTCATCCAAATACCCTTAGTAGGCTGCCTAAATTTTGCAACCCTTACTGCATAATTGCCCAGTTTCAAAGGAAGGATGGAAAGTGCCTCCCCCAGCCTATGCACACACAATAGCCTGGGTCATCATTTTGGCTATGCAGAATCACACATGTCCTGTTGAATTAAAAGCACATTCTTCTAGTAATATTTAGAAAACTTTTACCTTATTTAAAAAAAAAACATACAGAACATAGCACAGGAATCAATAATAGAATGGATCTTATATTTCCATAAATTATATCTATACTTCATTTGACCTATTACTTTGAAGTTCAACTAGTTCTTTGAAACAACAAGAAAAGCACTTACTTGTCAGTCATCACAGTGGGCTGGTCATCAGCAAATTCTTCTGGTGCAGGTACAAACATACTGACTATACTGGGTGCTGAGAGCAAGCTGGATTTTGTGGCACCTTAAGGCAATTGATTTAAAAAAAACAAAAACACACACACACACACAATGTTAAAGAGAAGTCCAAACTCAATTGCCCTGAAGAGCAGATGCCGAAATAAGAGGCACAATGGCTCTACACAGCACAGAAATAAGAAATATATTTGTCTGCAAAAAGCTGTGGCACGTTCCTTGCTTCTGTCAGACCATTCCAACTATCTAGAACCACCCATAAAAAAAATCTTAAAAAATTTTCTGAAAAAGATAAGGACAAAAATTCCAGGAAGGCAGATGCAATTGTATCTGCTCATTTTTAGGGAGAGAACATATTTCTACAGCTAGTATGAGACTGGACACCAGGAAATTCGCAATCTTCCCTAGCCTCCAGGAAATTTCCTTCCCACAATTCTCAGTGACATGAAGGAGAAAGTCAGTTCACACGTCTCACCACGAGGTCACCAGCTTATTCATACCATTCCTAACAAAAGCATGGGAGAGAAATAACGAAAGGGTTGTTGGAAAAAATAATTCCAACAATTAGGACTTGAAAAATATTTCAAGAGCATTGGAAGGCTGATGATTAGAAATGCTTTCCATTGCAAGCCTTCACAAGCAACTTGCTTCTACAAAGCTGTGTTTTTTCACTTGCTGGCTTAGCCATTGAGAGCATACTGACAGCTGGTGTCCCTTTGCCCTCGGCACCTTCTGTGTGCCTAACTTCCAATAGATGGAAGTAGATTCTTGTTTTAATAAGAAAAGTTGTGTAAAACAGAAGTTTCAAACCCGTGGCTTATCTAACCTCTGCTTTCCAGGATTATGCCAATATAGCACAGTCTGCGAGTCCAACATATCTCTCTAGTACAATATTTTTCCCTCTTAATCCCTTTGCTTTCATTAAACAAACAACAAAAATAGCAGAAAAGAACAATATAGAGGAGGTATCTCTCCAGCTCCTCTGGTTGCAAATAAAATCTCAAAAACACGAATAAGATGTAATAGACTCATTGACAAGCCTTCAGAAGGTTGTACATCTCAGTAGCTTTGATCCAAGGCATGCAATTCATCTAACGTGCCTTGTGATGACTATTTAAATTAAAACCATCTGAACATTGTTAGCAGATTCATCCTCAAGATCACTAAGACAGAAAAAGAGATTCAGCTCTTAAGACGGAGTAAAGTCTCATTTTGTTGCCATGTGTAGCTGAAATGACAGAAGCAGCACCACTCCTCTTCCCATACAAATCAGCTCCACTAATGAATTTAGGGAGCTCAGTTAGGAGAGATCATCATTATGTGTATAAACTGCCTCAAGGGGCATCTCATTTTGAAGACCCACCTATGAAAAGCTCATTTTATAAAGCAAGTTTTAGAAGAGTTCACTGCCCTTTTAATCTCAATTCATCCTCAGCTGACATCACCGGTTATCGACCTCTTTCCAGTTCCTTCAATCCGCAGATTCACATTTAATGTTAACATTAGCCTGTATTGACAACATTTAATTACGGAAACAGGAGGTAGCTTCTCCACCTAGGCTAGGTTCAAATAAGATTTCTGATGAGATAGTTCCAGTTACTGCAGGAAAAGCAAATTTAATATCATCTCTCAAGCGAAGTGATCTGTGAAGCTCTCACAATATATTCAAAACATGTGGAGTGCTGAGGGCTGATTTCATGAAAGGATGACAGTTTTAAATGATCATTTTACTAAGTATGGAAATATGTATAGGGTTCAGTACTTCCTGTCTCCTCAGATTCTGATGGATAGGAATAGACACTCCAGGAAGTCTGTAATGTAGGACCCCTTCCAGAACACAAGGAATAAGAGTAGATTTGCACGTATTTCTAGCCAGTCTTTTCCTCACAACTGGTTCCTCTGTCATGAATTTGGAAGTTTTACTGCTGTCTTCTCTAGATGCAAAAGCCATTGCAGCATGCAAATACTAAAAGCTGCCATAATGCAAGCTGCAGTGTTGGAATAAGACTTAAGTACCTACAACAAAAGCGGCCTTCTCTCATGCACTCAACAGGAGGAGAAACATGACTCAGGTGAGAAAGGTAGATTGCTGCTCCATTGCAAGGATGTAAGAAAGGCTGTATATTTTTGGCTCTAAAGCAGCTCATAGAACTAAGAAATGAGATTCAACCACTGTCCGTGTATCACCTCTTACTTCCAGGCTGCCAGTTCAAGTCCAGCCAAAACAGGTGTTAGTAGAAAGTCAGTACCTCTTACCAGTTGCTTCTGTCTTGAATGAAATGTCTTATCTGATAATATGCAATAATATGTTCTGCAAGACAGCTGAGGTATAACTAAATGGAGCACAATAATCACCTCCATTTAATACTAACCAAAGAAACTTTCTTCGCAGTCTTAGCATAGAGATTAGGTCAAAAGAACACTGGACTAACCTCTGATTCTTAGTGGCGGTCCCTCCAAGTCAGGGTTTAGGCAAACAGGGACGTTGCAGAGCCTCTTCCCATGCTGTATCTGCTCTGTGAATAAATACAGAACTTCAGCCTCCAGCAGTATATATCCAGCATCTGCTACCTGCACCACAAGTCTTAAACAACTAAAACAACAGAAAACACACACAACAGCTAGGAAGAAAAAAAAAGTTAAGTTTTTACGCATAGAAAGGGAAAAGAAAGTGAGAGGAAGAGAAAGATGGAGGATGTCCATGAAGGAAAAAGGAAGCAGATCAAGCAAAACCAAAAAAAGCATTTTAGAAAAGTGTCATTAAATAAGAAAGGAAGTGCTAACTGTAAAGTATGAGCAAGAAAGGGAATATATAAAGAGTCACAAAAAGACTTGAGATAGTGTTTACAAATACCAAGGCACTAGAAGTTCACGGAAAGTTTGTGCTGACAGAAACTTGACATGCAATGATTTTAATTTACA